CGAAAATAGGCTCGCCTGGAAGTAAGGCCCCGGCTTTCATTCTTACAAGTTGCAAGAGTATAAAATGTTCGGTTACAGCCGAAATTAGCCCTTGCTTACTTGTTTTCGATATGTTTCTATAGCAGCTTTATTCTATAGTGGCTTTAATTCGATGGTTTCGACAAATGCGCTGCTACTTGTTACGAATCAAGGTATTAACATGTCAATGTAGCAGAAAAATCAACATAAATTATATAAAAATTATATTAAAAAGCTGATATTTTAAGAAAAAATTGCTCGAGGTATTAGCGGAAATCGATTGTGGATTAAATGTAACTAAAGCAGCTAACTCAAAAATACAGCAAAAATCATGAAATTTCGGAGCCAAAGTTCGAAGATGGATGAGAATCAATATGTTCGCATTAAAAGCATTGAAAATTGGAACAAATATCAAATTAGGGAAAGGTCAGATTATGTAACAAAATATTTAACAACCGGAAGTGCGTAATTCGCAAACAGTTGAAATCAGCAATATCTTAGTAAAGTGGAATGAAAACAATAAGGATGCAAAACCGGTGACTTTTTTGAGATTCCACTATACAAATTCTTAATTAAAATTCTTTAAAATAAACTACTATAAACTCTCGTTTCAAAAACATATGTATGTACACAACTAAATTGCGTTTATATTTACACAACTAAACACATAGTTCCACTTCTCGTACAACAAATTCCACTTGTTGTTAATATTGTTGCTATCGCCGCCATCGCCAGCCGCACTCCGACCAGCCGTACTGATGACGTTTTTTTGGGGAAGCGCCGCAACGCGCATATTAAATACGTATCTGCTGATAAAACGTGTGTACGCCGCGTTTGTGGGGAAACGCTGTGACTCTACTCGAGCAGGCGTCCGAACGACTTTATAACGAAAGTTTTTGTGAAAATTCTAGTTGCCAAACTAAGCTCCCGAATTATATGAAATTTGGCACATGCATGCGGCATATCATCAACTTTGTGCTGTGTAAATTTGATGCAAATCGTTTTTGTGGTTTAAGCATAAAACGGGATTTTCGACAACTTCCATACGGTAGCATCGATTTTGATGACTCAAGCGAAATCTGATACCAGGCATTAACACGAGTTCAACGATATCCATATACCCTGGTTTCGTTACGGTCTTAAGGGTCAAATGATTTTTGGAAAATCATTTTAAATAAGTCGGCGAGCGCGTAAACAAAGCCCCAACTAATACTCATTTTTACACGCTGTATCGCATAGCGGCAATGTTAGGCCATGCGTTGGCACAGTAGTTCCGTACCCCAACATAGGCCCCGCATACCGCGCTGGTTTAATATTATATGTCTCGCGCAGTAAAAACATGTTTGGTTAGCTCTTATTTTTCTATTTATATGAGCGATGATTTTTTGTTGTTGCTATTATTGTTCATCTATACCACTATATGTAGTTGTCCGAGCAGCTGATTAAGTTGCAAAGCGTCGCGTGTGTTTTTGTATCTCTTCCACTTAAAGCAAAAGCACACTCGGTACTCCCAATACACACGATATTTGATCGTCAGTTGCAAGAGCCAACACTGCACAGAGCACAGAGAGAGAATGGGAAAGGCATTTACGTTTTAATTTTACTGCGAGGAAAATTTTTTCTGGGCAGAGCGCCTTACTATTATAAAAGATTGGACCAAAACTCGACCAATCATTAAAAAATTCCGAAATATATTCCGCGTATCCTCAGATACGTCTGATTCAATATTCCACAGCAATTTGTAGACGCATGCTCAAGGCCCTCGGTTTCATTTATGTGGATATGAATCACATTACCTCAATGGCACCCAGCAGGTTTCTGGAGTTTGTCAAGATGCTGAGACTTTGGGAATACATGTGATAGAGGAGAGAGTACAATAGACTTTAAGTCGCGGTGCAAACCTTATACTATTCTAATTTAAAATCCTCAGAGTTCAGTGAGCGCTGATTAACTGTCAATGCTTTTGTAGTCTCCAAGCTTTTTTGCCTGTATCCGCAGCAGGTCTGTGTGCTCCTTGCCTCACCCCATTCAAATTTTATGAGTTCTGACCATCACTGCCAGAGATCGTCCTTTCCTTTCTTTTCGCTTTCGTCGGATTAATATTAAAACTTCTAGACTATAGTTTACTCAATCATCCTGACGAACCAAAACTAGTTCTTTTGAACATTTTTTATTCCCTAGTACGGAACTGATCAAGAGGATTGAGCAAAACTCTACAATTCGTTCATTATCTCTTTCAGTTGTGAAATTCTCACCAAGTTTATGAAGCGTTTAACAATTTACTATAGCCCACTTTTTAAACCACAGGGGGTGGTCTAATGTATAAAAGGCATCTATTGGAACCTAATATTTTGAGAAACGCTTTACTGTCAGTGGTTAAAGGCTTTATACAATATAACCTTGCAATCTGAATGATCTTAAATAGTATTTCGACAAGTCATTGTATTAATAATGTTTTTTTAATAGCTACTAAGCAGAATTTACACTCGCTTTTGTTAGGGATATTTATTCAATTTAAAAGCACGTACAGTAATTGATGATAACCCATATTTATGATTGGGCCAAGACGTGACTGAAACCGACAAGTACAATAAACAAATTAGCAGCACTATTGTCGTCGTACATATGTAAATACATCTGTCTCTACAAACGTAAATTTAATCAAAGCTGCTGAGTTTGTCATTGATAAGATGAAAAGAAATATAGAAGTTTATATATAATGTGCGAACATGTATTGTTATGCTTGTAAGGTTATATTGGCAATTACCCAAAACCTTTCGCACATAAGGAAAGTAATAAAAGTTTTGTTTTGTACACAATTTTTGGATAATAAAAGTGATTTGGACAATAAGTTCTTTGGATAATGCAAGCGAAATGTTTGGGAACAATAAACTTTATGTGACTGTCCCATAAATTTTGCAATCAGAACTCAAACGTCTTGTGAAATGTTTGCTATATATATCCCTCATTGAATACTCGGTCTAAAAATATATGTATTATTATATTTTCAGCTGAGATAAGGCGTTTTTGATCATCTTAAAGGTGTTTAAATGGATTCATTATGATTTTAATTCCCAAACCCATAAATATACTTAAGAATTGGGTAAGGTTAGTTTAGGTCGTAGGACTGATCCCTGCATCAAAGCTAACGCAGGATCCTACTTTGACAACTGTGAACGCTGGTCCTTCGTGAAGCTTAAAACTCATAGATATGGATAAACATATCCTTATACGCGACTATTATCAAACCCAGACACTTTAGCAGATTCACCGAAGCTGAATCAACCACGAAGTCTTAACTTCCACTTAGCAAAAGCTGGACAGTTTAGTTTCATCAGCTTTGACTTGTCGAAATACAGCTTTGACATTTAACATACAACAAGTAATGTAGCAACACCGTAGTTGTGGCGATTAAACAGGTCAGACCACCTTATATAGTCTTGCTAAGACCAAGAAGTTCAGAGGACTGCTTATGTTCCACTCTGAACCAGAAGGATCTCGCAGCCGCACAATTAGTTCCAACGTTACAGCGAAATACCGTCGCACTCCCAATTTGATGAAATTGGAGTAAGATTTCCTTTTCTAGTAAGATCATCGGCTTTGTAGTTTCCAGCGAATCCGCTGTGAACCGGCACCCAAACAAGATAATAACAAAGTATGTAGCTTAATGCTATTGATGAAGAGATCAAACATTCCTCAACTAATTTTGAGTTCAAGGCCGGTATTGCAGCTCTGCTATCGGAGTGAGCGGCTACCCCTCTGTAGGAAGCTGTACTTCTGTGCAGTACAATTAATGCTACTTTGATGGCAGCCACCTCTGCTTGAAAGACACTACAGTGGTCTGGTAGCCTGAAGCTAGAGCTGAAGACTGGTTCCCTCCCAGGTATGTGCGCAGATAAGGAACCGTGCAACGAAGGTTCCGCGACGTAATGGTCCAAGTTATCAGGGTTCAAATCGAAGTAGCGGAAGACTTCAGATATAAGAGTAGTAACTGAACTTTATACTTTAAATTGGTACTAGTAAGGTACACTTAATTCGAAAATCTTCGTTAAGATTCAAAGCGCATCCTCACTTGCATAGTCAGAACCTTAAAATTTGCATTCGCGAAACTGTGTGGACTTCCGTATAAAATTCCGCAACTAACTGTGGCTATAGTTTTCACCAATACTTTTCCGAAATAAACCATATAAAAGCGTTATATTCGTCCAAAGTTACATAGTCTATATTATCCGGCCAAGTGCTGTCATTGCGAAGATCTAACTTTATTTGAGCAGAACTGTTTAATGAAAGACCAACTCTTGGTTCCTTCCTTAGAGGTTTACTTAAATAGGTTAATGAAAGGTCTACAGTCCGCAATTCCGCGTTACCGGCTTAAAACTTTCGATATTTCAATCGTTCTGAGACGTCTATTAGAAGATAAGCTGGTCAAGAAAAATCTGAGAAGTGAGTGCCAAAAAACCTTGAGAAGCAACATTTTCTTGTTCAAATTAAAATTAAAAATTTTTGTTTTTTATATTTTTTAAATGTTTACTAAAACAAGGTAAATTTATTATTGTCGCTGAAGTATTGCTGAATTTAGTCAGTATATAAGGTATCGAATACGGAAGAAATCTTAAACTACGTTCTGTTTTTTATTAATAACTGTGAGAAATATTTGAGAAAATCAAGTGGTTCGGTAGTTTAGTTTCATTCCAACACTAAATAGGTAATGAAGATTTGATTAGTATATATTATGTAGACATATATATATATAATATAGCAGGACGTAGATCTGCTTCTAATGGAAACACACCAGAAAGCTTAAAATAAGGTTTAGTGGTGAATTCTCTGTAATATATTTGAATAATATACTATGTTATACGATTTCGATAGGTACTAGGTAGCTCTTTAAGGATGCTGTTCAAGGAAGTTTTCAACTAGCTGTAACTATCTAAAATCAGAAAGAAATCGAATAAACCCACCTTAGAAAGCTACAGTCGGCATTTCAATCATTAAATCAAAACGTGTTGTATATATATATTTATTTTTGTAAAAATAATTATTTTTCTATAATTCCATACAATGTTTTTACTTCTTCTTCTTTGTAGTAGCACATATTTTCTCTGGAATAGTTCTATCACACTCATTTAAAATTTAAAAATTATATTCTATAAAAATTCTAAATTCATACTACCTGCATAATAGTGTCATAATAATAATAATACATATGGCATCCAAAAACTGGTACGCCCATGGTGTATGCATACACCGCAAACTACCGTTTAAGCGAAAAGCCAAAGTGACATGTTTCACTGAGTAAATAGACGCTTTAGGCTTAAAATTTTCGTTAACAAAATAAATATGTATGAGTAAATTCATGCAGAAGTATATATCCGCTTCTTCACATCAAGCAATGGGCTGCAATGGCGCCGATGGTTGCTGAACGAATCGCCAGCCGCTCAACAATAAAGGCCCGTACCCTCATTCTGCTCCACCTGATACAGGCAATATTCCTTTTGTGAGGGTGTCAAGCCAAGTGTATCGATTTCATCTTTGAATTGCTTAACGCCACCCACACCCGCTAGGTAACCATTCAATTTGGTGGCCACGTAGGAGGTGCGCAACAGTTTTGCATCGAGATTCAGAGTTTCGGCGAGATCTTTGTGGCCCTGCAGACGGTATTTCTGGTGATAGCTGTGGCGATTGAAGAAGGAAGAAGGAAGTTCAGCAGACATATAAAATGATTTTAAGGTTAGCAAACTTACTCTTCAGCAGGATAGAATTTTCCTTTCGGTAAAATCTCGGTAATAATTTTTTCAGGCATACGTTTCTTTTGCTCCTCTACAATTGATTCTTCAGCGATCTTCTTTTGCTCATCATCGTGATATAAGATCAATGACATATACTGACGCTTGATGGGGTTGGTAAGACCGTATTCATGATTGTTCCAGAAGAGATGCAATAGTTGTTTGAACGAGATGGTTTTGGGATCGTAGTCAATCTCCAGTACTTCAGTATGATCACCACTATTGAGGTTTAAAGTTGACATAAATATTTATGTTAGAAGCGAACGTGGGCGGAAGTGGGAAAAGTAAACAAGCGTTAGTGAAGAAGAAGCGGCAATAAAGAGTTTGAGAAAGTAAGCGATGTGGTGATGAAATGGCAGCAGTGTGTTGGCGAAAGTGATATAATGGTTTAAAGGAAATGGAAGTCAATTGAAATAAATACCGGAAATATAAAATTAATAACGAAAAAGTGATGTTTGAAGGTGATTANTGAGCGTATAAGAGGTGTATACAATGTAGTTAAAGAAAGTGTGATTTATGTTTTAAAAAGCATGAAAAAGTTTATGAATTTGAACGTGAGTATGCGATAAGTTTTGCGAAAGCAAGTGACGTATGTAATTGCCATGTCAGCAAACATATTTTTATTACGAAGAATTAATGTGAGCGATTTTAGGGCAGCGTGTAAATCACAGTAGTTTGAGATAAGCATGAGAGAGTTAATTTACAATGAGTATATGTGGGCGTTTATGTACAACAATAACGATAACAACAACAAGGAAGAAAGAGAAAACGAAAAAACACAAAAAAAAGAATGTTAGTGAAGTCTAATTTTAGAACACACGCTTACAGGCTACGGTACGTTGGTGAATCCTTGGAGCCGCCCTCATAGCCGACAGTTGTGCGCAAAATGCCTTTGTTGCCGCCAAATAACGATTCGGCGCCCCAGAAGCAGCCCATGCCAAAAGTGGCCGTCTTAAAGGCAATATTCACGCTATGAACGGGTGTCACATTCAGCTCCTTTTGCTCTGCGCGCACAGTGCTCTGCAAATTTGTTTAAAAAAACAGTTATTTTAATTTTAATAAAATGCTTCAAAACTAAAATTTTCTTTTTGTCAAGGAGCAGTTAGCTGACTCCTCTTACATGTTGTTTGCTATGTGACAAAAATGCATTTCACTTTTTTCTAAGCAAGTAAATTGTAGGCGTTGCCGCTTGTACTCCATAATATTACGTCTATTTTAGTTAAGTTTGTAGTTGTGTGCAATATTCATACAATTGTTATGCTTGGTGCTATATCATCGGTGCAGGTCGCTATTTGTGGCTTGAAGACGTCATATTGACAGCTGGTTTTATCCGCATGCAACAGTGTGACCTTTGCCAGCAGCAGCGCAAGGCTGAGTAAACTGTAGAGGATTTGTGTTTTACACTTGTGACTTAAGAATGTTCTATTTGCTACCATTTTTATTTATTTATTTTTTGAATTACTGTATTTTGTATAATCCCTAAATGTATGCTCCTTCCACACATTAACAATTTATTTTCACTAACTACATCAATACTTTCTACTAAATTTGTGTGTTCTTTCACAAGCGATGCGAATACTACAACTAGTAGCTTGTCAATATCAACGCTGGAGTATTTATTTTTGACTCTTTCAGCAGTTCGATGAGTTATCGCGTCGAACGTGTGCAGAAGAACGTCCCAACGGACTGTTGTGAATGCATGAATGGAGAGTATTTTAGCGCAACTACGTTGTTGTTGTTGCAGCATATGTTTTAGTGGCCGGCAATAGTTCGCCACTGATAACCGGTTTCGTATGAAATTGAAGAAAGTCAGAAAGTCACTTGTATCTTTCGCTTGATTGCAAAAATTAAATCTCTATTATTTCACAAAATTTGTATGTGTATGGGCCTATGAAGATACGAAGAGAGTTGCCATTTCATCGTAATTGAATTTTCAGAAAAATATAAGCAAGGATATTTGTTCATGTGTTGGTAAAGGTAAAAAAGTTTATCAACCTTTTTTTAGAATCTTCTTTGCTTTCTATTTAATCTGGTTTAGAATTGGTATAGTGAGAACTCATATTGTCTTTTTTTACCCTGAAAAGGGTATATAAGGTGTGTTACGAAGTTTATAACACGCAGAAGTAAGCATCCGAGACCGTATAAATTATATATACTGCTTAAATTATTAGTCCGTCTGTCTGTATATACGCGTACCTGTCTTTTAGTTGTTAGATATCGATCTGAAATTTTGCACACGTCCTTTTCTCCATAAGAAACTACTTATTTGCCTCAACCGCCATCATCGAACCATAATAGCATATAGGTTAGGTAAGGTTAGATTAGGATGTAGGCTACTGAGCCACGCATAGACCAGTTTTGGTTCTTTCCAATACCAGATGGAGTTCAGCTAAGAGATCCATGAAGAGTAGTCATCCTTTAGTATGCCTGCGCTTGACGCGAATCTCAAAAGACTCTGTGGTCTCACTATCGATACCTCTTCCATTGTCTCATACCGTGGTGCGCCCAAATGCTTAGCGTAGCCTGGTCAATGCAGCATAGTTTTACAAAAGCTATTACTCAAAACCCAAATTATTAATAAAAATGTTTGGATTTTGTAGGGGTAACTCTATTGCTCTCAATTTTTCATGTGGTTGCACTTGCAGTTGAGAGAATAAAATATTCTCTACTAAAATTGCAGTTTAACCCTTAAATAATGTTTAGTAGATGCACTTATATATAACGCGGTGACGGAAGTAAATGTTTCAACTACAAGATCAAAAGGTTTTACTGGCAAAATATTTCAGTAAATATATACCATATATACAAGTTTATTATAATTCGACTTCGATACAAAAAATAATTCTTATTTATAATTATCATGCAACCATTAGATTTCGCATGAGACGATATTAGAGATGAGAAATGCCTTGAAAAGTTATTTAAGAAGCGGTCATTTTAAGTTTCAAAATGTTATTAAACAAATGTACTTTTTGAGTTCGAAAAAAATTTCAAATAAAATTTTACTTTATACATATTCACTAAAAGTAGTCACTTAAAGGTTAAAGTTGAGAGTAGATAACCAAAATGCACTCCCAAATAAAGGTACAGACCGAGAGCATACACACGTGATTATTACAACGAGCTGGCGAATGCAAAATCAAACCTGACCTTGACAAACGGCTGGTTAGGTGGCCGACTTGACCATAAGTAAGGCAAAAAAGCACCAACAAGGCGACATGAAAGTTGTGCTACGACTACTAGATTTTGGCCGGTCTACAAACAGCTGCTAGGCAAAAAGCTTGCAATACCCACGTGCCTAAGGCTACACGCTGCAATGCATTTACATCACATATAGCCAGACAAAAACAGCTGATTGAATGCGAGCCGTGTATTTTCACTTTCTGCATTACACAACCGTTAACTAATAATCAATATTGTAATGAATGCATGAAAATGCGTTGTCAGTTTGAATTATATTGAAATTTCGCACTATTTTTTATAATTTTAGCTTACAATCTCTAACACTGGACAATTACAGCAGAATCTTCTGATAATTAAACGGCTGCAGCGAATTAACGTCATCCTTCGAGCAAGTGCACAATTTAGAATTTTGCTATTTTTTTTTTTTTTTAATTTAGTAACTAGTTTACACGAAATCAAAAAATATTTGTCATTATTGAAATTTGTAAAAAAAATAAAAGGTTACAGCTTTTGAAAATAAATTGAACTTTGAATGACTATCTGCCACACACACGAAGTATTCAAGCAATACAAGAAATTATTTTTGTGATTTTCGTAAGATTTTGGTTCCGCTGCTGAATACCGACCTTGCGCACTGGTGGCCTTCTTGCACTCTTGCTACAGCGTTGACGTTGCATTTGGAATATAGTTTCTCGAATATTTGCTAAAAATGCACACCGAACTTAGTGAAGGTTGTTGGTCACCTAAATGCGCAATGCCACAATACTGCGGCTTATAACGGCTACTTGGTGGGTGGTGAAAACACAAAAGTAGTTGAGGGCATAAATGGGGGTATGCTTATTGGCATGGGCATATAATTCATAGTTTTGATTTTATATTTATGCATGTAGGTATTTAGTATATACGAGTACATTAAATATGCAATTATCACAAGTGTCAAGGAGCTGTCAGCGTATGAAGTTGTATGGAAATTTTGATTTATGTCAAATTAGCTTAATTTGTTTACAGATAAAGTGTATGTAGGTGGGTAAACAGTGGCATAATTTGAACATTATCAGCGCTTCCGCGACATATTTATTGACTAAACTGAGTTTTGTAGAAATAATGGCGTAACCCTTTAATAGAAAATGATGCAGCAAGAATTAAATTTATTATTATTTTTGGTTTTTCTTGAGTTTTAGTTGCTCTAAATGGCAGTAAAAATTTTATAAAAATATTCACTTTTTATTTTGACATGAAAATATTTTATTCAAATATTTTTGTAGTTTCAAACGAATATTTTTTAAATAACGAGGTTATACGCTTTAATATATATATAAATTTTTTTTATTATTATTCACGGGTTGTTTTTTTGTAATTAGCAATTATTTCATCGCTAAAAAGGTATCTAAGCAAGTACGTACTTGAATTTATAACTTCAAACGGCAAATAACTAAATAAAAATATAATAATTAAGTATTCAAAATACGTTCTACGTGAAATTTGAATTTTGTAGCCTGATTTGGCGTTTAAAAAAAAATGTATGATTACAACAAAAAATGGTGATTGGCAAAATTTGCATACAAAAGACGAAACCTTTTAGGCATGAAATTAAAATTGTTTTTGTACATAATTATTATTTATTGTGCCAATTTCACTTCACTTTTTTGTATTTTGAACTTAACAGCCCTTTTCTTGACTGTTTTTCAAACTATTTTATTCAAAACTAGACTAAGCGTAGTTAAAAAATTTTATTTCAAAAACATTCACTTAGAATATATGTGCTTAACAACTTCACATTACAGAAAAAAATATATATTTCTGTACTGAAAATATTTTTAAAACTACAATATCACATTATTCACGCATTTTGTCACAAGAAATGTTTATAAAAAGTTATGTGTTCAAAATTTCGGCATTCACCGTATTAAAAACATGTTTAGGGTCACACAATTAAATAACCGGTTTCATGTAAAAAAAATATTCAACAAACGATAAAAATTACACAAAAGCAAAAAATGTCACATAGCAAATATTATTAAATCGTAGACACATTTTAAAACACTCCTTAACAATTACTTACCACATCCTTGAGGTCGGGCAAAGTGTAGTCAGCGTTCAAAATTTCCAAAGCCATTTTAAATTATTTTGTTTGTGTAAAAAGACTGTTGCTAACGTAAATACTTGATTTTGAACTAGAAAATTGCGAATATTTCTCGTAATTTCTCTTAAAGCGCAGTGCTTTACTGACTTGACTCCACTTTAGTTCAACAACTATTGCAAAGCAGATTTGTCGTCGCTTTATTTATATGATCCACTCAGTGATATGTTGTTGTGACACATTGTTTGGCGCTGGTATTTTTTTTTTCATTTAAATTATCATAAAGCAACAACAAACATGGTCGAAGAGTATTGCTTTAATTCTAGAGAATGAGCTGTGAGATGTTTTTCCGTTTGAGAAATGATATGAGTACTACGGAAGCGCAGCTGGTTTCACTGTCAGTGAGAAATTTCACTAGCTACATACATACATATGTATATGTGGTTATATGTTAGTGATCGCGCGCTCATAAATGAATACTTGAACAAACCGTGTGAGTAAAAAATATCTATCACTTGGTAGCTCAACTTTATTTCTACTGAAATATAGGTGAGCGTCGAGTTTTGAAGATTACTAGCGACATTCCCATAATAATTGATTTCGGATTTATAACCGGTGAAGGATTATCAACTTTAAAATTTTTAGGTAAATATTTTGGAGGTCGTTTAAACAGGGAGGAATTAAAACGACGGCAATTTCAAGCTCATAGTACGAAATGGAAGCGACAGCGATTATTCAATATTTAAGTAAAGTCGACTTGATACTGTTATCTAACGGTATATAAATGCTAGATGAGCAATTTTAAGGGACGAAGGGTGTCACGGTTGACCTAAATTCAATCGAATGAGATTTCCGTTATGCAACCTGTGCCATTCTACAGTATACGGAGTTCCTGAAAGAGAAGTAAATACAATTATTAATTATCCAGAACCAGAAATAATTAGTCATCCCGACAATATCATAATCATAGTTACTTTTAGAACGGAAGTACCTCTACTTTATATATTTATACAATGTAATTATTTATTTGTTTGAGATTTATGTCTTATTATTTTATAGCTAGAATTTCTAAGCTGTATATTGCTGTACTTATTTATTTCGTACAGTATTTGCATTTTATATTATTTGTTGCCTAATATTGCTTCAATAAGTCTGTATTTGCTGCAATTAATATTTTGTTTCTTTATGGCAGAAAAGTCAATAAAACAAATCACAAGAAAGTGTAATCTGATACTATTATAGAAGATATAATTGTTATATCAAGTTCATATTTACATTTATGGGAAAATTTTCATTTACGAACAATAAAGTGCATATATGAAACTGCTAAAAGTTGCCTTATCTTTTCGCAATATTTTTTTTTTTTTTAATTTTTATTATTTGGAATATCCGCCGTACTTAGCTCAGTTAATTTTTTGTGTATGAGAACTGAGTTGTTTATATACCGACTCTGCAAATAACATGAATTAGCACTTTTTAGTTAATCGCCTTTCTTATTAATTTCAACAGATTTTCTAATTTCATACAATAGTCGTAAAAAAGAAGATAACAGCAGCCAGTACATTACAAAATAAAATAAATATTAATTAACTAGTTGCTGAGGTAACGTGAAAGCCACGTTTTACTCCTCCTGTTATTTGTTTGGCTCAAATTTGACCCTGCTCAATCGAATAATGAAATCCAACAGAAACATTTGTATTTTGATTTCCTTTGGATTATCAGTGACATAAAAGCCAGCGACGCCAGCTTTATGTAGCGTGCTCTGCTGATCTCGCACCTACAACAATATATAGAAATAAATAAATAAATTGTGATATTTCTATTTACACCACACATTACCTTCTGGTCTAGCAATGCAATCAATTTCATATCGGTCTCACGCATTTTTTTGCTATGCTTCACTTGCATAAGTTGTTCAATGTGACTTAATTCCTCTGGATCGGTAATTTTACTATGCCACTCTTGCATTTCTAGCTCAAAATCAGTTTCCACTTGTTTGCGTAGTGTTAACAAATGCTTCTCTGTGACATTTTGTATTTCCATCAGACCTTTGACAATTTCAAAGATTGTATCGTTTAGCAGCGAATTGGCTAGCTCTGTAAGCAGCTCATATGATATTCGTATTTGGTAATTTCTATGGATTAATGTAGGATGAATAGTCGCTTAAGTTGCAGTTCCAATATATCTTGCACTTACTCTGGCAGCTGTGCATGCATTTGCTTTAGCTGATCCACTAGAAAGTATAATTTGCGCTGCAGCAACTCCGGCGAAAGTTCGGCGAAGTCTAGGATTTCAGCGCTGCTGCTGGCACTAGAACTACAAGCCGCCAAAGCACTTGCGCTTGTTGAGGGTAGCTCCGTCTCCATATTATATTAAGTTAGATTTCGTAATTTTAATATGATTTACTTTTAACTTTTGCTATTTATGATACATTAACTGGTTAAATTTTATTATATTGTTTACGTACTGCTTCTTTTACAGTGTAAAAAAAATTCACAATGGAGAGCTAAAACACAATTCACAAAAAAGCGAACAGTGTGTAGACAGAGGATTCATAAGACAAAATTTGTAATGAGACATTAAAGGGTTGGGGATAATTAGCACTTTCAGAGAATAATATACAATTTCGCACTTTTTAGTGCGTAATATGTCTGCTTGGTTTGAGATTAATCTTCGATTATTAGTGAGCATCACCTCAACAGCTTTGGTTGGAACTAAATCAACACAAACAGTCATTACTTTTAAAATGAATAGTTTTTTTTCAAATTTCTGTCACGTAAAGTCGAAACTTTATTTAAGATGATTTTAGTTTGATAAAATAAAATAATTGACTGGCAAAAAAAAAATATTTAAAATAGTACATTTCGAATGCCTCCAAGTACATCTAACCTCCTAAAATCACCATAACACATCAATATCTGTAAATTTTTTCTCTATTCAAAATTGTTAAGTTTAATAAAACAAAATATTCTTCTCTAATCTTTTAAATTTACACTGAATTTAGTTTTTATTTCCATTTAGCATTGTATGATTAATCGTCACGTCCCACATTTTAAAATTTTAAACTTTTTCGCGCCTTAACATGAGTCGGAAAGACATAAGGCTGTACTCTACTCTGATAACGCTTCCTTTTCTTTAACAACTCCGTAGGCAGGGATTGAGTTCCACGTGGGGTTATCACTTTTGGCGGACTACGGGGTTCACTAGTGGCATTGTTATTTGCTATTTCTCTTGGCCTTTGCTCAGGCTGCTGTATATGGCCGCAACTGTTGTTGTTTTCATTTGAGGACGCCGAATTTTTATTTATTTTCAAACGCATAAAATAATTTGATAATTGTTTTGCTTGCGCTACACGCTCCATTACACTCATAGCTAAATTAGTTTAAGTTGTGAAAAAATTATTTAAATTAATAACTGTACTAGAACAGCAGCAACACATACACTTTCAGTTGAGCTACGCTTTAATGTAGATATACCTTCCGGTGTAGTTGTTGGCTGACTATTACATATACTTACATAATTTCCAGCGCCTTATATAGGTATTTTCGTGAAAGCGTTTTTAATTTTTGATCTTGACCTTGAACTAGAACTAGTTTCATTTCTACAGAACACTATTATGTAATAATTTTTTAATTTGGGTTTTATTTGGCTTAGTTAATAGCACAAAAGGAACAGCAACAATTTTTTGCGATCGCTTTATGTATTTTCAACTCGCTCACGATAAAATTTGTTTGCCATTAAATTCTTTTCAAATTTTCCATTTGTAGTAATATTGCAATAAATATTGACTGATATATAATTGTTCTGAGAGCTAGAAGTTATACATAATTTTGCCCGTAAACAGTTTTCAAGGTCAAACCTTTTTAAGGACAACATCATTCGAACAATAGCTAATGACAATGAGTACTTCTTACGCCAAAATTTAGGCTAGGGTTAATTTAATCCTTGTTTTCAGGTCAAACTGTCATAAAAGTGTCAAAAGCTTACCGCGAATCGAACGGTAGGTAGTCTTTTGTACTAAAAGTCAGATGTCGTTCAAACTAAACTCTAAAGAAATTACACAAAAGTTTTCCTAGATCACTTATTCTTGTCTTTTCGATCACATAAAGTCAGGAAATTGAGTGGTTTGTAATCATTTGACGTTGGAATTGTATGAATTCGCAACATTTTAATCAATATCATATTTTTTTTTATTTTTTATTATTCTATTTAAGTTAATGAAAGGTGAAAAACATTCGGTACTACCTGAAAACACATTAATGGCTTCTTCAGAGCTTATTTCTATGGAGAAATAAAGCTTTGAAATATAAAAAACCCTCTCTGCAGCTTAATTTAACAACTCTGCTTTGGAAGAAAGAACTTAAGAATTAAAGTCTTACTTGCCGATATTTTATTAAAAAAGATAATATTTTATTTTAAATAATATTTAAAAATATTTAAGACTTTTAACTCTCGTAAATATTCCTTCTAAGTAAATATGCGAAGGATACCGATTCGATATTAGTACTAGATTACTGATAATTTTAAACTTCGAATTTATATTCTTAGCTTGACGAATTTAGTTTGATTCGACACAGAGTGTATTAAGGATTAAACTGTATTTCGGTGAGCAGAAAGAGTTTCTTTTATTCATTGCCGAAGAAAATGCAAACAAAAATAAACTCTCAACCCGGTCAATAGTTCAAAACGTCTAGAAAACTAACTAACGGGAAGATGCTGGCAATACTTTATTTTTTTTAAATCTTTAGGGCTACTTCAAGAACATTTTATGACAAAACTTTCATTTCTTTTATTTGCGGGCTGAAGAAAATGCAAAAAAAACATATTTTTTCATTTCAACAATATATGAAACTGTTTATAAAACTGACTGACGAAGAAATACTACCAATACTTCAATCTTTATGGCTAGTTCTAGATAATTTTTTGGGAAAAATGGTATAAATTTGGTTGGAACATTTTTTGTTCGCGCCATACTTGTATAGTTCTAAAATATTTAGAATCAAGATCGTTTCTTATTTTTATCAACGCTTCAAATTATTTTCAGTGACCATTCGACAAGGTATGTGTCTCAACTACTCATCACAGCACATACAAAAACCATTACGAAATGGTGGTGAGTATAGCACATGTGATTTTGTTATCAGTGCCGCTGTTTTCGTCGGCATAACTGATTACACAACACAAAAACAGCTGTTTCGTTAGGTTAAGAATTCAAAGATCTACGGGGGGTTGTGGTGGAGAGCGAGCAGCGGAATTTGACTTTTGCTTTATTGTGTGCGTTTGTGTGTTTGTTTGAGTGAGTGTGGGGAGAGCGCCGCACAGCATGTGGAACTGCATTAAACATTTTCCTACACATCTTTGAGCCCCTCCTATTGCGCGCTGTGTCGGCGTATAATGTGGGGTGTTTGGCCGGCATGACTGTCAGTTGATATTCATATGTTGAGAAATTAACAACGGTATTAGTTAAGGTGACATACTAGATACTATTTACTACATGCTCGTGAGATGAATTGAAGAACATTCGAACAACATAAGACATATACAACGACAGCGACAAGACAATTCGTAGTAGTGGTGAATTATACAATAAAATAAAATAACTCCAATCAGCAGCCCGCTGTCGATGGATTGCACATTGTTTTTCTTTGCCAACCAATAGCGGCTACATAACATTAAACCGAGTTTTCGGCCACAAAAACAAAAATCACGTATATTATGTAAAACAAAGGGCTAACAAAGTATTAAAGTGCCGTAAAGCGTTTGTGTTATACAATTTTGGAAATAGTTTGAAGTTCTGATGAAATCAAGTAAATTTTTTTTTCTACTAACGATTTGAATGTCGTATATTACGAAAATAAATTAAATAACAGAAACCAATAAATATTACAAAATATTGTAAAAAATTAACGTAAATATAGATAAAAAGTTCATAAATCAAAATTTTTAATTTATTAAATAATAAAGGCGAGTAAGTGCTATTGCTGTGCAGGCATTGTGAACAAAGTGTTGCTAGTTAAGGACAAGCGCGGTCGCTGGCCAGACGAGGCAAGGGCAAAGCATTCAAATAGTGCATATACATAGATATCTAAATGTATATGTCTAAGTATAATTGAAAGCATTAAATTGCGCGACGGTTACGAGTGCAATTTTATGAACGCAATTCTCGAAGCATTGTGGATTTAAATTGGACATTTTTCGCCAACAAACACGCGCCCTTACGTTGTCCGTTGCAGCAACATACCCCGTCCGACCGCCAGCAGCCCTAGTCGAACGTTATAGAGTAAAAGTGCAAGTGAAAATTTTCCATCGCACGCTTTCCTCAAGTCCGCCGTAATATGTTGACCGTATCCAAAGGGCCCAGCAAGATTGTGGCTAAAACACGCAGAGGTTAGTACAACGCTTATTAATTTCATATTTTTTCCTACTTCTAAAAATGTGTAAAAAAAAAAACACATTTCCGGTTCAATCGCCGTTGGTCGTTTTGTATGTTTGAAAAATGTCAATAAAAAGGATAATCATTTGCTATTTGTAAATGCTTTGTGAAATGGAATCAAAAAGTTGTTATGTCACACAAAAATCTCGAGGCATACAAATGCGTTAACCGCACATCCCGCACACTTGGTTGCCCGCCATGGTCGTAGCACATGTTCGTTGAGCGCTTATCGTGTATTGAGTATGTGAGTGCTTTGTTGTTGCTCGTGCTGTTGCCGTTGCTGCTCATTATGTGGTAGAATAATATACTTTCTACTCACAATGTTCTCGAAAATACTCTGTCAGTTCGTTTGCTCGCCGTGTCACGCTCTTTCACTCTTTGGCGTGTTGCTGTGGAGCATGGGTATTATGTTTGCCGCCGACATGCTCCAGCTAGTGCCAGCGCGTTGAGTGTGGTTAGTATGCCAGCTGAAGCAGGCCCCCAAATCGTTTTTGCAATTTCAGCGTGCAAAAAAACGATTAAAGTCACCAGTGACGTAAAATATTGAAATTTATAGCAAAAACAATTTACGTAACACGTATTTTAGAAGTCCAGTATAATCCATAAGGATACCAAATTCTATATTACTTTTTTCGGCCAGATTAATTTAACCAACTTTTTATTTTGATAATTTTGTTATTGAGGAGACCAGCAAAAATCTAATAAATATTTCTCCAAGCTACGAGCAAATTATTTTTCTCGGGTTGGTATCCAACATTATTGTATGGACTTACTCCTTTAGAGAAAGATGCGTCTTAAATTGAGAAAAATGTATACAGTTATGTTCATATTAATAGCAGTGCGGGTTGGGATATACATATCTGCTGTATGCTATGCCTCCGCGGGACAGCAAAGCGCCACAATGAGACTCTTTTATTTATTTCGATGACAGTCTTTTGATTTGACTTCCACTTTTTTGTACCTTAGATATTTCGATGTCCAAATATCTACTACCGGCTTGAGCGGGTCGGCATTTAGGTCGGCTGCCTTGTGGATTTCGTTTCGGCTGATTGTGTATAGATCTCGTCTCAGAAAATGATCGAGCCATTTGCATTTTCTTATGAGAATTTCGGTCCGCAGTGGTGTTTGGTTTGTGCGTGACCATAAGTCTGAGTTATAGACGGTTACGAGCTATAAAATGCGGCAAATAATAAATAAAAATTTGCAGCTTTTGAATGTCAGTGGCTACGAGATTCCACGTTTTGTAGCCGTGTAGCGGTTTGAGCTTAATATTGGAGTTTAATATTTTTATTTTGGTACGTAAATTGGGATATGTTTCAATGAAAGAAACGGAACTACATATTTGTAATAACAATTCACGTAGTATTAATGGTCGCCATGCTGCAAAGACATGCCACCGACATCCGGTTAATATTAATAAATTAATTGAATTATATTTTCACCTAACTTTGAAATCTTTTTATACTCAAGACAGATTATATTAAGTTTGCCACGAAGTTTATAACACTCAGAAGGCAACGTTTGAGACCCTATAATATATATATATATATATGTATGTATTGAATCAGCATGACGAGCTGAGTCGATTTAGCCATGTCCATCTGTTTGCATATACACGAACTAGTATCTGAAATTTTGCACACATCCTTTTCTCCGAAAGAAGCTGTTCATTTCTCGGAACCGCCCATATTGCACCACTATAGCATATAGCTGTCCTATAAACTGAATGTCGTTTTCATATTTCGAGATATCTTTAAGAAATTTGGTATGGAATATTGTCCAATCCAATATGCAATTTCCGAAGAAATTTTTCAAATCGAATCACTATAGTATATAGCTGATATACAAACTGAATGATCATAATCAACTCCTATATGTAGCTTCGGTGCAATCGAAGTAAACATTTTTTCTTGTTCACTTTGTCGAATGAACGTTAAGAAATATTATGTAATTCAGCTATGCTGGTATTGGACTGTGTCGCAGTATTCGAAAATAAGTTGAATTCAATTTGAATTATGCTTTGTTTAGTAAACCGAACACTTATTCTCACACTGCTATTTTTGTGAACATAACTGTATATGTTATCTCTAGTATATAATAAAGAACATTAAAAATAGATTTTTTAGACTTTCAGTAGCAAACTTATCTTTATTTTCGACTTAATGATCAATAATTAAAAATTCAGCTACTTGTACTTTGACCAAAAACGTTTGGTCACTCATAAACAGCGACCCACACCAACATATGTATATGCATAATATTTTGCACTACCCTCTGTACCTAACCGAGTGAAAGAGCGTAAGCCAAGGAGAGCGCGCACAATTGAATGCGAATTGCGAGCACCTTCTGGTGGGTTTGTACGCAATGTGTTGTTGTTATTTTTGTTATCGTATGTGTATGTGCATTTTGGGAATTTCTACTGTTTGCCGGTTTTATAGTTGAATATAGCATAAACTACAAAAACAATAGCAATGGCGAAAGTGTCAACAAAACCAACAATCCCACTAAATCGTTCAATTAATTTGATTTCTTTTTTGAAAATATTTGTTGTGTTGTTGTTTTGCTTTTTTTATTGTACACACGGCGAATGGCGCTTAGGGAACAAGCGGCTAATGTACCTGCAAACAAACACACGCACACATGCGTACAGCTAGAAACACACCCTCTGCTGGGAACTAGTTTAGCTTTAAGTGGTTAATAAAACTTGTTATTGAATTTATTTACTGTTTATGCAAATGTTTCTGTTTTTGTTTTTATTAGTATTACTACAATATTTTATTTTCGTGTTTTGGTTTTTACATACTAATTTACTATTTTTCTTATCACACAGGTGTTCCGCAAAATTATGAGAAATTATTTGAAATCAAAGAGAGCGGTCGCCGATCCTCTGATCTTAATAGTCCGGAGAAGAAAAGGTGAGCAAGAACACAAAAAAAAAGACAAATAGATATAAGAAAAACAAACTGTATCTGATAGCTACATAGATACATATATATGTATTATAACACGTGCGCAGTTATGCAAATATACATACAGGTTGGTTGAAAAGTTTCTGCTTTCACCAAGAAATAGCAATACTAGCTGCAAATTTTATTTTTCTCAAGTTGGTACATCTGTCGTGAGAACACATGCAAAGTAACAAGTCATTCTGGCAATTAATTCTTTGTTTACAAGCCATTTGAAGTTGACGTGTCAGAGTAATTTTTTAATATGGAGAAAATCGCGTAGTGATTAGGTTTTTTGTTTTGAAAGGTTGAAAAGCAACGAAAATTTATGAACAATTGTTAGAAGTGTATAAGGAGTTCACAGCTTTAAAACGCACCGTTGAATTTCGGGCTTGTTTTGAAGACGATCAACGCGAAGAACGAGAATAACCGCAAACACACTAGAAATCATTGAGCAAGTTCATAAAATTGTTAGTGAAGATCGCAAGTTTGATTAAGCATGAAATTGTTAATGCCATAGGCATCTAAGCTGTTCTAGTACTTCATATTTTACATGGAGAAAGGTAAAACAATCAACTCTGCATATTATTGCAACCTTTAGAAACCGCTGGATTAAAACTTCGTGAGAAAAGACCTGGTTTGCAGCACAAAAAAATAATTTTTCATCAAGACAATGCACCTGAGCGCACAGGTGTTTGCAAACAAAATTCAACGAATTAAAGTACGAATTGCTTGAGCATCCACTGTATTCACCAGATTTGGCTCCCAGTGACTACTACCTTTTCAGAAACCTGAAACAATGCCTTTGTGGAAAGCGTTTTTCGTCGGTATTTTACAGAGCTTCCGAAAAGTCATTATAGGGATAGGAAATTGGAGGTTCATTGGAATAAGTGTATTGAAGTTAAGGCAGATTATATTGCATGAAAAAATATATTTCGTACCAAAAAAAGTATTTTTTCATTTCGAGCGCAGACTTTTTTCAACCAACCTGTATATATGTGTATAAGTATGTACGCAGATATTTATTTATTCAATGATTTTATATTAATTTGTGACTTATTTTGAAAACAGTTGTGAAATTCAAATGTTCCTTTGGCATTGATTTGAATTTAAAATAAACTTGTTTGTTGCTGCGCTCTGTGACTTGTTTTGCTACATTTTATCTGCGATGACAGATCTTCGGTATTTTGAGTTTCGTATACACTTATTAATGAAAATATATTCAAAATACGTTTTTCAATTTTTCTAGTTCATACAAAAATATAAACATTTTTTTGTTTATGTACTATGTGTGTACATAAGTATGTGCATTTGTGTAGAAAATATATAGAATTTTGTTGTTGTAATTTTTTTTATTGGCATTGCTTTTTTTTATTAGTATTTACGCTTATCACTTTTACATATTTTGACGTTTAGTGCATTGGTCAGTTACGCCTTGTCATGACCAGTGATTGGCACGACCTTAATCAAACGAGCATCGCACGCTGACGTTGTATTAGTGCGCTTATTGTAGGACAAAGCGCATAGGCGTTCAAAAATAATCAGTCTGCATGCAGAATTTTTACGCTCTTCATTCTGTTAATGTTAGTGACCATCCGTGTATATATGTACATACGTATACGATCACTTACGCTCTTTTAGCGTTTACCAAGTTTCTTCTCATGCCTAGTCATGACCCTTTTATGCCGTTCAAAGTCCAACGACAAACAAATAAATAAATAATTTCTCACGCATTTTTATAATTATTAATTTTTGATAATGAAATTACTTGGACTTTGCAATTGCAAAAAAAAATATGTATATACAAATATATAGGTATTTATACGTATTTATACGAGTATATATATATATAAAGAAAGCATATTTTAATGCGCGATTGTCACATAACGAAGGGTACGGTTCGCATGAAGTTCTTAATTTTTTTCATTTAAATTTGGAAGCATCTTGTGTCATCTTCGGCATGACATAATCCCTTAGTTTAAGGCTTCACTCTCTTAATTACATACGCTATTATTTGACTGGTATGCTTCCGGATTCTGTTGACCCCTATCATCCTAGCATTCCGTTTAGGCGCAATGTGAGTATCTATATGGTTTCGGAAGCCTTATGATTACAGCCAGACTATGGTGGCCACATGAGTATTTCGGGTTAACGAATTATCGTTCGTTTGACTGTGGGTTTGTATATGCTATTTATTATATTTTATGTTTGTGTGAAGTTTGCAATTTTTTTGTGCATTGACCCAAACTATAAAAGTCGACAGAAGAGCCTCTGCTCGATGCTTAATACACAACCCTTTTCATGTGTAATAAATGAAATCACAATATAGAATCGATCCTTTTATTATTCTTTTATAGAGCTATATTTGAACTCTGTGAGAAATAATATCAACCACTTGACTACAATATAAGAGAGTTTAGTACTTGAATAAAGTGTATAACCGCTTGCTTTCTATCTGTACTGAATTACGCTTGTCTCTTGATTTATAACAGTTATTTGTTCTAATCACTACTCTCCAAAATTTGGCGATTGGAGGCCAGCTATTCGTTTTCCACACAGCTATTTAAGGGGAGACTTTGTTTTCATTATTCTATTTGAAGTTATTTTTTCCGCTTGGACTAAAGGCATATTTTTAGAAGTATTGCCTTTTTTGTTTATTTTTTATCCTTCAAAATGTATGCTGTAATATTGAGTTTACCAACTGAAAATAAAATTTGATTATTATTTTTATTATGTATGTATATGTATAATCATTACCTGGTTTATAACAAGTAATGTAACACTTAAGCAAATGTTTCCGATCATCATTTATATAGACTAGGTGCAGGCAAATACTTCTAACGGTTATTTATAAAAAAGTGTATATATTTATTTTATGAACTACTAGTTTATGATATCATTTATGAATTTGCACCGGGTGCAAATTTGAAGAGTTAACATGCATACTTGGGCGAAAGTTGAATCAATTTTATACAAAAGTGAGTTAAGTCTCTACCCGAACACTTAAAACGCTAACTAAATACTTGTAAAGAAAAACTAGTAATTAGTAATACAAACAGATTAGAGCGATAATTACAACAAAATATACATTTACAATAACATACGTTTATACATACATAGGTATATGTACATATGTCTATAAGTATATAAAATACATAGCCGGCGTTAAGAGCAGCAAGTCAAACATGCTAATTGTTAACACAATTCAACAATTCATATGTAAGCAAATATATTTATATGCATACCACATATATGTATGTCCACAAATTAGAGCAAAAACCCAAACGCACTGCGCCCATTGCTCCTTTGCGTAAGCGCAACACGTGGACATGACCAATGCGAGCGCCAATATTTATTCATTCACTTTAAATAATGCTCACATGCTTCGTGATGGTGATGCCTTTGCGTTGTTTATATATATAAATACATACCCACAGCATTACTATGCATATATCTTAAGGCAAGCACACACCTAAATCTATAAGTGACTACAAGTATGCATACTTTTCTAGTGTCGTGTATGCGTATCTCTGCGTTCTATTTAAGTGTTTGCTTCATTCCAACAGTGTGGTCTTCAGAGCTGGGGGGCTTGTCTTGAGTGTCCGCATGAAAAATTTCTTTATGAGTGATAAGGTTGATATAAAAGGCGATAAAGCATGGCTATACACATTTCTAAATGAATTTATGGTATGTGTTTTCAAATGCTCACTGAATGCCCAGTAGGAAATTCGAAGCGTTTATAAGTTATGAGATTCAGTTTGTTGGTAGTTTACGAAATAGAAATTGAAATGTCACAATTTTTAGAATACAAACAAAAAATGTGGAACTATTGGAAATTTTTAAAATCCATACTATATATACTTTATACTATATATCCGTACTAATATTATAAATGTGAATGTAAGCATGTTTGTTACGTTTTCACGCCGAAACCATGTAACCAATCATCATGAAAATTCATATATCTTATGCTATTAGAAGGGACATAGGATATTTATTATCAAAATCAAAAAATTTGTTTTAAGAATTGTGAAAAAATTTTTTTTGGCAGATCATATCTGTTTGTAAAATAAATTTCAAAATTTGAAAATTGAGAAAAAACAGATATTTGAAAATTGTAAAAATTAAACAAAAAAGATTTAAAACATCTAAAAATTCATATTTAAACAAAGGTCAAAAGGATTTTCTTTTTAATTAATTGATAAGGAATGTCTACATATGTATTTTATTAAATACATTTAATAATTTTTTTTAATACTTATTAAAATATGTTTTTAAAAAAGTTTGCAAAAAACAGAAAACTTATGAAGAACTAAAATATAGCGCATATTGGAAAATTAAAAAACTGTCGAACACAAAAATTTGTAAACTTCATAAAGTAAAAAATGAATTCGTTCAAATATTTCCTATATTAATTGTTGTTATTTTATTAAATTCGAAAATAAAACGATACCCAAATTTGAAGAAAGAAAATTTGTAATATCAAAAATTCTTAAATAATTTTATTTTTTCTTAATATTTTATATAAAATATTTAAGTGAATTATAATTTTCGAATAATTTTCTAATATTTTTTCTATAATTTTATGTTTTAATTATGGCTTTAAGTCCCTACAAACATAAAAAAAAACTGAAACAATACTAAGTTTTAATACTCGCCTAGAGTTTATTTTCCTACAGGGTATCTTCAGTTATATATTGTTCTAAGCCAACTATGTAAACAACATACACATATATTAGTATAAGCTAGCGTTGCTGTTTATTTTGAGCGATAATTCAAGTAGTTTTAAATTATTTAAACAAGAAATAAATTATGTGAAAATAAATTTATAATAAAAGTGAAATAATGTAATAATTGCAACAGTAACAAATGAGCTACAGTAACATCCAGTTAATTACAACACAAATAACATAAACATTTTCATTATTTAAGAGTATTTAATAAAAGAGGATATAAGTTAAATACATATAAACAATAGAAAATTCGCAAAAATTTTAATTTTAATTAAAAATTGTTTAAAAAATTATTTGTTTTTCAGTATTCATTTTTATTGCTTGTAACAAAATATTTTGGCTATCCTAATAAGCGCGCGATTTTCCCTTTTACATTTTTTAGCAACTTCTGTGTGTGTAATATTATATATTTATAAGTATAGACTTTAGGGTGAGCCAAAAAAATTTAAATCAAAATTATGGCTTAAGTATACAATGCAAAAACTATGACTGCTGCATCCCTGGGCTTTTAGCTTAATTTCATAAGTTGTCGGTGAGCATTTTAACTTTTCAAAGCTTTGAAAAATACAAATTTTTTAATTGTAGAAAAAAATTCTTTCTGAGCTAGATTTTCGCGGAAATAGTATGCTGTAAAAGCATCCGCGATATAAAAAATTTTAATCGTAAACTGTTCAAAATTTAACATTTTTTATTGAAGACCGATTTTTATGTTTTATTTAAATGGAAAACTTTGAATGTTCATAAGGTTGTAGTGATATTTTTCTCTGTATTTACATAGGTTCATTTTAATCCATACATTTTATATTAGTTTTTTTTTGACTCACCCTAATGCATATACGTAATTGAATGCTTCTACTTATATATTTCCATTGTATATATATATTTGCTTGTTTGCTGCATTGAACGGCTACTAACTTCTTGACAGAGGTCAATTTTGGGGCTATCGTGATTGCCTTCTGTCTACTAGCAGAGCTCATTACTTTATTTTTACAAAATTACTGTTATCTATTTACGACTTTCACGGTTTTCCGTTGTCTAGCCAATCAGTCAGTCGAGTATGACACTTCAGCTTTTATGAAATGATTATGTATACATGTATGTATATGTTTATAAGTATGTATGTATTCATGTCTAAATTAAATTTTTTGTTTCACTTTTGAACAAGCTAAGCACTGTTACAGATTATAGGCATTTATATACCCAGACATTCACAATATTACATAATCATTTTGTTATATTTTATGGATTTACAAAAAATTTTAGACATGGCAATATTTAAATACTCGCCTAAAGCACTGATAAGAGTCGCATAACTTTTGCTAAAATACATTAATTAATGGCATTAAATTTATAAACGTAAGTATATATTTTCCGGATGTATTGCTCTAAATTAGCTGACTAAAATTTTTATGCAAAGGAAATGTTTTAAGTCGGCACTTTACATTTTATGGCTTATCTTTATATATCGAGAGCTTAAATATTTAACATCGGCTGCTATTTTTCCATTAAAATAGTACAAGTACAAAAATGTATGTTATTCTGAAAAATTTAAACATTTTATTTTTTATTACCACTTGTTTACCAAATTTTTTTGGACCTACTTATATGTAGTATTTTCACAGTTTTGTAGGCGTAGGTCTGATTGTCTATAATCCTAAACGGATATAAATCACTAATTTTCCCAAGCAAATTTAACATACGTAAACAGTTGAATATATGTATGTATACGCGTATATAAATAAATTTTTTTATACACATATACATATGTAGATACATACGAGTATGCTTATTACCGTGCATACGCCTGCTTACGACCTGCTGCCTTAGACCACTTTGGTTGGATGCCATGCGGTTCTAAAGACAACAAAGCCAAAAATTAACGACAAATTTCGAAAGTGAAAGCGGTCTATGCATATTTACAATCTGGTCTACAAGTCTATTGTGACACTTATGCATATAAAGAAAGAGACGTGTATGCAAATATTTTGGGAGAAATTATATAGCAGCTTTCTTAAACATTTTTAAGGAGGTGGTTTAAATGATTTTTATAAAGATCGGCTGCTACGAAGCTATAATATCCTTAACAGGTGCAGTTTGTATGACAGCTATATGCTATAGTATTGCGATTTCGGCTATTCCGACAAATGTAGAGCTTCTTGGGGAGAAAAGTGCGTTTGCGAAATTTCAGGTCGATATCTCAAAAACTGATGTACTAGTTCGCGTATAAGTAGATGGACACGGCTAGGTTAGGTTAGGTTAGTTTTGGTAAATAGGCTGATTTCTCGTGAATGCACGCTTAATTCCACTATGTTTAAATGTTTTAAAGTTTGTTATGCTTAAAGCTCACCATAGGCGGCGCTGAGTACATATTTTTGCGAAGTTTTCATTGCCAAAGTTATGTAAGCAACGTTTTCAGAATATTTTTGATACCATTGAAGAGAGCCGACAGCTGTAATGACTCGAAATGAAACAAAATATAAAATTTATTTTATTTATGCAAACACGAGCGACTAAGTCTAGCTCACTGCCTTACATAATTATTTATTTCTAGTTATTTACAGCAGTGTATATGTAAGACATAAATGGGCGAAATGCATTCATAAATATGTATTTATTCAAATGCACGTTGCAATGTTGAAAAATGCACAAAACAAAAATTAATCTGTTGCTAGCTAAGAAAGAGCTTCTAAAGGAATGACTAAATAGACTAAAGAGACAATAAAACAACGAATGGAAAAATGTTTATGATTTTCAACTAACAATATGGTAGACATTAAAAAAAAAAAGTAATAAAAAAACATTATTTTCATAATTTAGCTTATATTAGCACTAAGTGTTATTCAGCCGGAATGCTTGGAATAGCAGAAATTAAGTTTAACAGCTTTTATAGCTCCCAACTTTTTGTAATAACATATAAAATTAATTAAGTCAATTTAGATTTATAACTCGTTGTTTGCAGTTTATTTAGTAACCGTTAGTTGACTTTTAACAACTATAACTGATGAATGATATAAAAATTGTTAGGCAAAAATAGCAAAAGTCAAAATTTAACTTTTTATATATTTTTTTTAAATAAGTAAAGCCAAAATTTACTTTTTCATATTTTTTAGTAGAAGCAATGTCAAAAGTTCCATTTTTTTAAATTTAATATTATTAACAATACTAAATAAATGTTTTGTTTTTTAGTTTTGAGTTTAGTTTAGTTCAAAAATTATTTAATGCATTCATTTTTTTCAGTGCACCACGTCCTGTCTTCAAAAAATCTGCATCGAACGGCCGACACATAGAAGAGGTCTCATTAACACCACAGCATGAGGAGATTGTACAATACATCAATGACTGTAAGTGTCAAAAAAGGATACTTAAGTGATATTAAAATAAAGTATTTAGTGAAGTTTGGTTACTAAAAAAAAACATGTGTTGTCAATTGATTGCGTTGAGACAGAGAGGAGAAGTAAAGCACTTAAAATAGTATTATTTTACAAATTATTTTTAGATCATGAAAGTGTGGTAGAGAAAAATATTTTAATATATTTTTGAAAATTTAGATTTAAGACCAGATAGTTTTAATTTTTTTTTTAAAGCGTTACGTTGAAATGGATTTTGTAAATTTTTTGGTTAGAAAATACTGTTCGAGCAATCAAAAGAAATTGAGGTGATTTTTATCTGGAGTTTTTTCGCTTTGATTTAGAGGGAGATTACAAAAATTGTTTAGCAGTAAAAAGTTAAATATTGATTCGAATAGTTGAATTCATTTAGAAAATGTTCAAAAAAAAAAGAATTCTCACTTTTTTTTAGACTTTTAGGGCTTGAATCATAAACGGTTTTATAACTGTTCTTCTGACATTTCAAAAACCATACTACAATAGAACAGCTGTTGAGCCACAGCTTCAGTAGTGCCTATGAGGAGGCTCAATGAGAAAAAATAAAACTTTTTCCACGAACTGGTTTTGGTAGAGTTATATATCCCTCTTTTCAACAAATAAATTTTCAACACATAAATATCACTAAAATTTTCAAATAAACTGCGAACTATGGGAAAATTGTGGCTTAATATATTAATTTATGAAAAATTTGAGATGGACCATATCAATACTAATTTGGTTTTACTGCTCTCATTCACAGCGTGGAACGTCATTGTGGCGCATAATCCTTACGACACCGCGTTCGAAAGCAATGGCCATGTGGAACAACCTGCGGACTCCAACAACAACTCTGGTAAATATACAATAAAAAATGTTCGAAAAAAATTCGCCTAACCTCATTTTTATTTTTAAAAACTTATAGCTGGTTCATCCATCGCATCCACCTCAACATCATCGGCTGCCTCATCGGTATGCACATCACCGCAACCGACCGCATCGATCTATTGCATCGAACCGCCGAGTCCGGTGTTGAGCGATTTCAAGCCATTCGATTTGGTGACTTGGTGGTACGATCGCCTGTGTGATGTTAAGAGCACGTGAAGTGTGACGACGAACTAAATATAGCGAGAGAGTGAATGTGCGCGCGTATGTGTGTGTGTGTGTGTGTGGGTGTGTGACGTAAATGTACAACGAAATGCTATTGGGTAAATTGAAAAACAAGCGTAGACACATAATTACAATTAATATACAACCAAAAAAAGTGGCAACGATGAAAATTCGTGCATAAAACACACAAATTACAAACAAATTAAGTAAATCATAAACAATTGTGAATTGTCATCACCTGCGTCAGACAGTCGTCGTTGTTGGCGTGGTAGTGCAGTGTAATTAACATACATATATACATACTTGTATATAGAAATGCACATATATGCAGACTATACATATATGCATACTTACATATATGTGTAAAATAATTGCTTTTTAATTAAGTTTTATGTTTATATTTACTGCAGATATGTTTGTTCGTTTTTTTAACTAGCTGTTACAGTACTAAAGTAATAAATATTGCATAAAAAAATATTTTTAAATTTTTATAATTATTTAGAAACTCAAAAAATTACAATCCTAATAGTAATAATATGTGTATATATATATTAGTTAACGAAAATAGCAAAGCAATTTAAAATAAATGTCATGAAGCACTTTTTATTAGCAAGCACTGTGGATACGCAGAAGCGTATATCTAAGTAAAATATTAGCTGTAAATTAACAACCCAATTGCTGTGAGAACTCAAGACGCATGATAAATTCAAGATTTCATTGATAAAACAAATTAAATTATGCCATAAAATTCATAGTTACAGCCGGCGAAAAAAGTTATGTGACATTAATAAAGATAAAGACGAGAGATGCAAAAAAAAAAAATAATATAGCTTACTTATTTTTACCCTAAATTAACAAATTTCAATAGTTAGAAAACTCACATGAAAGAAAATTTCACCACGCAAAAAAACTCACCATGAAAATAATTCACTATGAAAAAAAAAAAAAATTAACCCAAACTTTTGAACAAAAAAATTATAAAATAAAATAAAATTTTTCTATTTGCTTCGCCATTAAAAAAATTCGTCACGAAAAAAAATTCACCACAACTTTTGAGCAAAAAAATTATTGAACAAAAATTAAAAAAAAATTGTCTACATTCATCGCTATATTGTACTGAAATGTTAATAAAACACAGTTTAAAGAAATATTACACCTTGAAACAAAAATATAGCACTAAACTAAAATGTTAGCTACAAAACTAGTTGAGAGCCATTATTTCCGACAACACTTTGAGAGGTAGTGTATATGGAGTGCATCTTGTAGCACTCTGCAGGACACTCAGAGCAATTTCTACTTTTAGCTATAACAGTTTATAGCAATTTTACAGTTATCCTTAGCTGCTGCGCTAGACACTCTGAAGGCCATTGTATTATATAGGAAATGTTAAGTTTGCTGTTATGAAGTCAACAAACTGTTTTTAAGAATTGATAAAGAAATGTATGTACATATGTCACTGTATACAATTATTGTTGCATGTTATATAATATGTGTCTTATATAAAAATAACAAAATATTGTTTGCCATTATTTTAAGAGCACAGAACATGCAACTAGAAACTAAAGAAAAAGAAAGCAAAAAATAAACTGTTTATTGAGTTACAAAAAATCGTCGAAAGAATGAATATTACATTTTTTTTTATCAAAAGAAGGTAAAAAAATTTCAATGTTAAACATTTTGTAAAAAATATTGTACAAAGCTATTCGTCTAATCGACGTATAATTAACTCTAAATTGTTATATTTTCAGAAAGTAAAAGATAAATTTTACAAAAACGCATACACTATTTTTCATCCAATCGACGAATACTAAATTTATGTAAAAAAATACAAAACTGTTCATTCAATCAACGTATAATTTTACATTGCCATATTTTCAGAACATTTAAGTTTTATTTACAAAGTTGTTTGCCTAAGTTTAAAATCTAAACGCATACAAGAAAATTTTTCATCCAATCGACGTATAATTCTACACTGTCATATTTTCAGAAAACTTAAAAGTAACTTTTCAAATTGAGTCAAAAACCGCGTACAAAAAAAATTGTTCATCCAATCGACGAATAATAAACTCTTGCTTGCAATATTTGTAGAATATTATATATGAATTAAAAAGACTAAAAAATAACGCAGCTATGAAGTTAGTCATACAATCGATCTATAATTAATTCTTTATAGTAGCGAAAAAACAAAATGTTGCTATTACAATGTTTTATATTACTTAATATGAAAAAAAACAAAGTTTCATTGAAACGATGAATATTCTTTTTGTTTTGTTTTCTTGTTTTTTTTTTTGTAAATAGGTATGTATGTAAATTGTATGTAAAGTCAAGAGCACTTAGCAAAACATTATCCAAAGAAAAGAATTAACTACCAAAATGGAATTGCCTCGAAAATTTTTAATTTTTTTGTTTATTTATCAAGCTTTGCTTGTTTCAACAGACAATAATATTAGTAGGCAATAAGGTGGCGTAAAAAAGTTGAAAAACACAAAGTTTATTTAATAATGATAGTTAAACTTTTAAGAAAATTAAGAAACATAAATCAAATAACGAATGCATTTTACGCAAGAAATAGTTTTGTGGCGAATGATAAAGAAAGCTATGCGATTTTGCGTTTTAAAAGCAAGTAAAGAAACAAATTTAATATCATAACGAAAGCAATTAATACCATTTAATTAGAACTGATATGATAGTTTTGAATAAGTCACAAACAAACTACGTGTGAAACTTCAAAAAAACTTATTAGAAATTTCGTTTAAGAAAATACATCTAATGTACGTATAACAGTTTATTTATTTATTGCCCGATTTTGATAACTCAATGTACAATAATAAAAATTCAGCGTTAATAATAATAACTGTGCACTTATTGGAGATTTTGAAATTTTTGTAAATAAATTCAAAACACAATTAATTGAATTTTTTGTTTTTTAAAAAGTAAAGTAATGAATTTATAAATTACTGCAATATTTCGTGAGTTTTATTATATACGGAGCAGCTACGTTAGCTATATGTATGTGTTTACAGTAAACTATTGATAACCAGCAAAAACAATAAAAATTAAATACACTTTATAGTTATGAATACGACACAATGCGAAAATTTATGAATAATGCAAAATAAATAAGGCGTTGTAATATAAAAATATGTAATAAATATGAAAGCTTGACTGTTAACAATGTGGTTGGAAATTTATTGTAAATTTTCGTAATACATGGCAGCTAATACAGCAGAGAAAGTGCTAATTTTCTGCATATCTATAACATACATCTAAAGGATGTACACTATATTTTAGACTAATTGTCATGTGAAAAAACTTAATAATATTTTCTTAGAAAGTCTACAAATACTACTTTTTTTATTAAGTGTTTTAGAAAGCCTTAAAATAATCTTTATGTAGAATATTTCAAATTTCAACGAAAGCAGGAAATAGTTCAGTGTACTCTGTCGACAAGAAAATTAAATAAAGTACGAGTTGTCGAATTTTTTATCGTTAGCAATAATTTTTATGTCGAGCTAAAAATAACTGTTTTGTATATTGCTAATTTCAACGAAAGAACGAAATATTTGCTTATACACTGTCGGCATGAAAAGAAAGTAAAATTGTTGATTTTTCATCATTAACAATAATTTTTAAGCCACACTAAATGAACATCGTAGCGATGAACTCATTTAATATACGTAAACAATACAAATATTATATAATGAAATTTAGCTGTGAAAAAGTGTAGCTATAAATGTAAAAGCAACATGAATGTCTGGGTCTTCAATTTATTTGTTAGAAAAGTTGGTTGAAAACATAATTTATAATAAATGTATATTGTGTGCACAACTGTTTTTAACAAATTCATAAATTTTGCTTCATAAAAATAATATAAGTACCAAAAAATTAGTGCAAATTGTTGGAAAATATGCTTCCATTAAATATGTTTTGGCTTAAAAGAGTACCTACTTATACGACTTAAAAGTAAAATTAGCAATTATATTTATATCAAAAAATAAAATAAGCTATAAACAATGAAACAATTGAAAAAATTAAACAAATTTCACTATATGTTGCAAGATCAAATGTCATGTTGCATGAAATATTAATTATTATAGCAATCAAACCCATACATTTCTTGGGTGGTCTCAATAATATTTACATGACTGTATAATATTTACATAATTGTATCATATGACAAAAATTTACACAAAGCAAATGTGAAATAAACATAGAAGCAAGTAAAATATTTTAAGCAAAAATACAAATTGTAAACGAAAGCAGCTGCAAGAAAAAATAACAAAAAATGTAACTGATGCAAGAACTACAAACTAGTGCATAATGAAAGAGCACAATGTCTAAAGTAAAATATAAAAGAAAAGTTGAAAAAAAATGAGCAAATATTATCTAATTTTTTTTAAACAAAAATCGTTTCATGTAAGTACATATGTAGAAATATATTTATTTTGTCTTCAAGCGAATAACATATATGCAAATCAGCGTTTATTAGGAGGTAGTAAGTATAAATTGATATAAAATATATATTTTTTTCTCCGCAAAATTTTAGTTTAACAAACCCAATATTGACACATACAGTTCATAGTTATAACTGTTAAACATGAAATTCATTGCTGACTTTCGTTGTTTTCACCTAAAATACTATTGTTCTGTTGTACCCACTGGCAGAGACGCAAGGACTTCACAAATAACTCTAAATTTTGCTTAAATGCCCTTATACAGTCCGTTTCGTTAGTTTCAGTATTATTGTTGCTATTGTTATTGTCCTCAAATAAGTTTTTCATATTATGATTGGCATATAATGTGATTGTCTCTTCATCCAAACAATCGATTAATTGTTGCGCATTCACGATACATTCGCCGGCATTGTTGAGAGCATCGCGTAGACGTTGGATCTGGGCGTAGGATTAATGTGGAGAATTATTGAAATGCATTTATGGAGTTGTAGATGTATTTTTAAATGTTTCTGAATATAAATTTGAAAGATTTTGGCTCGACATAGATGATTTTTCGTAATACATCTATTAGATGTATGGAATTTAAAACAAAAAGTAGTCAGAACGTCAGTTAAATACGTTTATTTTTGAACTGTTATAATAAAATTTTTGTTAAGCGAAATTTATATGTTTTTAAAATTTAATTTTTGAAGGAAATATACATCGATCAGATGAATTAATGCCAAAAAATAAAAGCAATTTAAAAGCGAAAATGAAAGACAGAAATAGTCTTCATAAAAGATGTATAGAAATATCGACAATAAAAATACAAAATCTGAAACGGAAATTGTACAAAACAGTTCAAAAAAACTTCGTCTAAAGAACTCGGAAGGCTTCGGCGACATCTCAGATGGCAAAGGGGACAAACAGAAGTATACAAAGAAGAGATGAATCGAAGTACCGAAAATACGATACAAAATTGAAAACGGTAGTCGTATAGAATATTCCGAGAACTTCGTCTAAAGTATTCGGAAGCATAAGGTTTCTAAAACAATTCAAAGTAAGTCTCACCTCTAAATTTTTTCTCGCCTGTAATTGCAAATACTTGAAGCATATCTCTTCGAAACGTTTCTGTAATATGCAATATTCATCTAAAAGATTGTCGTAGCGCGCTTTTGCTGTTTCTGTTTCACAACGACTTAACTGAAGCAGCTTTTCCTTTTTTATAAGTTGTCGGCGGCATTTTTTGTATGAAATGGAAAGCTCGTCATATCTGAAAATAAGCACAATTGAAGCTTAAGTCGCTATGATCTTAAAGGCAATGCGATCTCTAAAATAATTAATGAACAAAATATCTTTTCTAAAGATGACGAAGCATAGTTTAGAGTTCTCAGCACCAAGCCATAAGATCACACAATCCATAATTATTGCTTTATAGTATTTGAAGCCAAAAAGTATGCTTGAAATTACCTTTGTTGCATTAAAAGCGGGCTTATCGAATCATATGCTTCGGATGAACACGACCAACGTTCCGTGGCACAGCAACGCGACACTGCATTTTCTGGCTCCTCATCTTCCGTTGTAGAGGCGGCATCCACACCACGTATTAGCTCCATCAGCCGCACATTACGTTCCTTCTCATTATCCAATGACTGACACATATTCTTTAGCTTCTCCGTTTGTCGCTCGTATGCCATATGCAAATTGAAATCGTTTTGCCGATCCTCAATTATCGTATTCTCTAATTCACCAACGGTTTGGATAATCTGTTGAACGAGATTATAGGTTTGCGGATTCGGTACGGAAGTATTTGTATAATTCGATTGTTTACTAGTGGACGGATGATGTGATGTGCATTGTAGCGATAATTTGCGCGCTTGTGAAATTGGTGGTGGCGGAAAAAGTGTATGACTGCTGCAACTACTTTGGAATGGCTGCACCGGCAATCGAAAGGGATTGTGGCTCAGCGGAGTAGCAAGTTCTGTGCTTCCTGGTATTGGGTGCTGTTGTTCACAACCGTCTTGCCGTTGCGATGTGGATGGTTCGTCTTCTGTTGCTGATTCTGCTTGTTGTTGTACTTTATCGGTTGGTTGTTTCCAAGATAAATCGAGTTCTTGATAGAGCGCTTCTTCAAAGGACATTATATACTGTATTTGTCTGGTTGACTTATTTTTAACGAGAGTCCGTGTCTTGTAATATATATATTGTTTTGGTAAAATTAAGTTTACTTTTAATTGTTTTTCTCTTTACGTTACAATTCCTATCTTTTTGGCCGAAATGCTTATGTAAATCGTCTACTTGGATACGCGTTTATTCGCCGAGCGGTACGAAAGGCAGTAACTGAATGAATGACTGAATCATTCAGTATAATTCTCAAAATTTTCAGAAAACACAGAAACTTCAAATTTGTTTTGGTAATATTTTAAACTTCAGAAAAGAAAAAGTACAGAAATCAATTTGTAGATTTTAAATATTTTCGAGACTCGAAGTGTTAAAACGATGAGTGGTGTTTCGAATTATCGACCACTTGTGAAAAGATGAAACAATTGGCAAAATCGAAATCTTTAGCTAGTGGCAGCGTCATTTACATACTGACTGATATATGCGGCGTAAAGCTAACCGGATGTTTGAAAATTATTAGATTTATGGAAGTTAAGGACAGTATTTACCTGATTTTATCTATTTTTGGCATTACTACATATTACTTGTATGAATAGAAATAAATGCGCTCTGAGTTTCATTAAGGTACTTCACATACCATCTCTATATAAGGGGTATAAGGAGTAAACTCAAACGGATGTTTGTTAATTGGGGCTAGGGTGGAGCGAAGCCTGATAGTAAAATTTGTAGATTATAAAAAAAGAAAATTTTTGGAAAAAAATTTCGAGTTAAAATTTTTTTTTTGAAATTTTTTTGATAAATGTTCTAGAAGCTGTGGAGAGTCCTCTTTCTGGCCAATTAGAAGTTATCAACTGAACAAATTTTTGTGGTCATTATTGGAGTTAATCTACAAATTTTACCCTCAGGCTAAGCAATTTTTTTTGCTTCACCCTAATGGGGCTAGCGCAAGTTTTCAACCGATTTTATCTATTTTATACGAAAAGATACACTGTTATTAGAAAAACACGCTCAGGCACTTTTATTAACACAACCACACACATATTGGCCAATTTATGCGGTCGAAAATATTTCTATTAGGTAAATGGGGGCTTAGAAAACTATTGACTCGATGCAACCCATTTTTGACACACAGACATATTATTAACAGGAAAGGATTCTCACCGAATTTAATTTTATATTTTACACATTGACCGATTTTTCGGTATCTGGGGGCTTTAATAGTTATGGTCCGACTTTGAAAGTATTTAAACTTGCGTTGGCATACCTTAAAGCTATTTTTTGTGCAAAGTTTCATTCCGACTCGTATTCATTGGTAGTTTGATTTGTATACTGGAAAGTGAAATAATTTAATGTAATGTAAATGCATGGCAACCCTCCTAGAAACATGTGTACCAAGTTTCATCTCGATATCACCATTTTTACTGAAGTTATCGCTTGCACGGATAGACGGCCGGCCGTCTCGTAATCCTGAACATTTAAATATAATATATATAACTCCTTATAAATCTCGTTTGGTTTTAGGTAATACAAACAACCGTTAGGTGAACAAAACTATTATACTCTGTAGCAACATGTTGCAAGAGTATAAAAATCTTGCTTACCGCCAGACATCATTTTTCGGAAATCTTCCTGGAGATCGGCTACTGGTTCAAGAGAATCAATAATTTTTCAAAATTCATTTCCGTTTATGAAAGTACAGCTATTTTATAAAAATAGATTATTTTTAATTTATTATTAAATAAAATGTCTCTTCAATAAAAAACATTCGCAAAGAGAGCGTGTTTTGTCAATGGGTACAACCTCTTAAGTATATTCAAGAACCTACTATTGGTATCTAGTACCATTGTATGTACCTTGATCACCCATAATTATACTTTTTATATATATCTACAACTCCACTATCGATAATTGCCGCTCTTTAGTAGTCTTTAGTTTAAGTCAACAATCTGCCTGTTAATAACGTTAGTACCACCAAAACTATACTCTCTTCTCCTCTCAAGCCACCACATTCAGTCTACTGCAAAACTAATATTGCTCAAGACACACACTTACGCATATTATTTCGCACACACTTTATAAACCTCTTTTGTTTAATTTATCAATTTTATTTTAAGATTTTTACTATTCAATTAATCTGTTTTTATTTGCTTATAGTTAATAGTCCTGCTTGTCTCTTTTCAATATGCAACAATATGGAAAACTTAAATGAATGCATCTCAATTTATGCAACAGCAACAAAAAACAAGCACCCTGCATCGCTTTGTCCATTCGTGCGTAAATTGTAATTTTAAGTTTCTTTGTGGTAGCGTGTATATACTTACATACATACATATAAACACTGTAGTCATTTATGTATATTGATTAAGGTGAGATTTCAAAGTTGCTACTTTCTTTTTGCCATACGCCGACGCCTGCATGGACTTACCTTTTGCTCAGCAGTAGAAAAAAGTATACCGTTATTAACTGCGTACATATATGTATGTATGTATGCGAGGTTGATATCCGCCTGTTGAGCCCTTTGAATGCTCGCACCAGCAGCGCCAATTGATAGTCGATCAGGCGTAGAAAGCCAACTAAGGGCGATACTTACAAACCGTTCGTGTGAATGTACTCGTATGTGTGTATGCATGCATATATCGTTGTATGTAAGTATGCAGATGTGTTTGTGCATATTTCTATTAGTTTGTCTGCGATTTTGCCATACTTTTTTGCAGCTTTGCTACTACTTTTAATGCCATTCAGTTGCTTGCCTCTTCGACTGCATTTCGTTGGCAGGCGTTCGTTCGTCCCTACTATAGCTGTCATGTGTTTGATTGGAAGGCGTGTTGTGTGTGTGTGCTATTCGATTGGTGGCATTGCTTTTCCGGGTTTATTGAATTTATCATTCATAGCCATGCGATTAACGCCACAGTGTAATAAAAATATTCATACTTGTACAAATTATGGTAGAAGAGAGGGAGTATAAAAGAAAATAATTCCGTAAGAAAAAATTTTAATACGTTAAAGGAATTATGGATTAAAAATTTGCTTTGATGAAGTGCAAAGAAAGCAAGCAAGGTAAATAGAAAAATATCACTGCTCTGTATTGTGTGAGATAAATAAAAAGGTACAAAGAAGATATGATATATATGAGAGCTGGCTTTAAAGAGTGATAAGGCAGAATTTATATGGAAGATACTGCATATTTGATTTCGACTAAGCACGAAATCTTTTAAGTTTATCGCACTACAGTTATTGCGAAGTGCGTTCGGTATTTTCTAGTTTTTCTTGAGCTATGTTCTAAAATTGTACACAGGAACACACAAAATATTAAATTTAAAATAAAAACAACTAAGGATTAGCTAAGTTCGGGGGTAACCGAAACTTTTACACTTTTGCAATTTTTCCGAATTTCAATAATATATGTACATATCTCACAGATTGACTGACATTTTCGATAAAAAGTTCGCTTGAATAGTTGTAGTCCGATTTTGACAGTTTTTGTATTATACCATATGGAAAGTGAACTGTATCCGATTTCGCTAATTTTCGCTTTGTACGATGGGAGTATCAACATAATATTATGAACAAAATTTGGTTAAAATTTGTCGAGCAGGTCCCGAGATATAGGTTTGCACCTAAATATGGGCAGTGCCACATATATTGTACAATTTGGATATTGGTTCCTATAAAGTTTATTTGTGTCATCTCGGTTGCAAAATTTAGTGCCTCTAACGGTTTTATTTATTGAGTTTTTGCATTGTTAGTAGTTTGCAACATAACCGTTATATGGGGAGTGAGCGGGGTTACAATCCGATTTCAACCATCTTTACACTCTCAATGGGGATGCTAAAAGGATTTTCCCTGAGCAAGTTTGATTTATTTAGCTTAAGTGGTTTGGGAGATATGTACATTAAACCAATTTATTAATATTTCAAATCACAAGTCCCCCACTACTGCAATACCTTGCACCAAAATACAGTTTTGTATCTTTATTCGGAGCTTCGGGTGGTTTACCATGTTTCATCAAGATATCTCAATTTTTACTTACGTTATCGATTGCATGGACGGACGGACGTAGAGACAGTCAACCGGATTTCAAATTGTCTCCTCATTCTTATCATTTATGTATATATATCTATTTCGATTAGTTTTTGGTGATATAAACAACCGTTAGGTGAGCAAAACTATAATACTCTGTAGCAACATGTTGCCAGAGTAAAAAAATCGATTTTTTTACTTATTTTGAGTTACAGCCTTTTAAAATGTTACCGCCCAGTTCAATCAGCTCCATCAGTTTATTTTTAAACGCATTTTTCTCAAAACTACATCTTTCGAATTTGCTTGTGTGCTTACTCGGGGAAAAATAATTCGATCATCGATTTGTAAAAAAATTTCTGCTTGTTTTGTACATAGTTCTCCACACAATGCAACAGCCTTTTGATCTGGTCAAATCGTATTTTGATAGGCCAAAAAAGGATTGATATGATAAAATTCAATTGCTTTGTAAAAAGCCACCATCATGTCAATTTTTTGATTTGTTTACGATCTTAGGTCAATATTACTAAAGCGCGAATTTTGTTTAGGTGCCATCCACGAAGAAGGCCGAAAACACTGCAACAGTGATGGACCATTTGTGCGCCGTTGGAGATCGCGTGTCATTCGAAAAATATTTAATTATTTTCTTATAAACATATCCCTTTTCATTCTCTAAATCTCATCTCATCTATAGATTGGTATTCAGAAATTCTCCAAAAATCCAGTACTTCTTAAAAAACTTCATTCATGAATTCGGCTTTGTGTTATCAACTATATAATCATAATTTCCGTAAAAAATCAATTAAAATCGTAAAAACCTTGTGAAAATAAGCTGTTAACTGCACAACTATAACAAAATTATCATTTGATACAAGCTTGCATTATAATAAACACCCAGACGATATCTCGTTAAACTGATTATCAGATAAATGTGAGAACACAGAACACAATACTCGCAAACGGCTGGCACTGGAGCAAAAAGCTGTTGTGTTGAGTTTATCTTCTGTTTTGCTCTTGGTGAAGTGCTGAGCGTAAATTAAAGCTCAGCAGCGCTTTACAAGCGCACAGTGAGTTGGTGAATGATTTTAGTAACGTTTTGTGAAGAGCAAATTTTAGTTTACTTTGTGCTTGGTTGCTGGCTTGGTCAAATAAATTGATAGTTAGAAAGCAATACGTGTGAAATGTGTAGTTGACAAATAGTGGAAGCACTTGCTAAAAATCAATATCTTAAAGAGTTATTTAGTTATAAGCATAAAGCAGTTGTTTACGAAAAATTTGCCTACAAGTAATTCGTCTAAACGCGTTTTAGTGAGACTTTTCGTACGTAAATATGTCTAGTTTTGTGAACGCTGTGCGTGGTGTCTTCCGCCGTCATCCCTTTCTTGCCAACAGCGCCATCTATGGCAGCTTATATGTTGCTGCCGAGTATTCGCAGCAGTATTTGGTGAAACGTGTGCTGGTAAATGAGTTTTTTTCATGTTTGTTTGTTCAGATATATATTATTACTACTATATGTACTAGCATAAACTAAGTTTAAAGAAGCGTGTGTAGTCAGTTGTTGATAAACATTTATATAATATAGAAATATTTCGAAAGCCATAATGGAACATACAAATTATATGAAAAATTAAATGAGAACTTTTCATATGTAAAAGAAGTTAGTCTTCGGAGAACAAGAAATTGTAGCTCTTTACATTTTTGGGTCCAAGTCCTTTAAGTTTATAGCAAGAATTATTAGAAACAAGTTCCATGATGGAATTACTGTAAAGAAGCACCAATGATTACGTATCGTCTTACACCCATCTCTCGTCTATACGACATTATGACGTATAATATGCATAGATGATATGCTTTCAGTCACTTAAATTGCGGGTTCTAGATATTGCGTTCGATTGCTCAATGCAGTACGGGGAGCTAGGCTAATGAATAGAACGGTACGATAGTTGCATGATATGATCTACATTTTCTTATTATTGCGATTACTTTATTCTCAGAAAAGGCTTTTTTGATTTAAATCTGTTAAGAGTAATTTAGTAAATATTTTAAGTGAATCAAGTAACTTGTAAACAAATTAAAGTATCATGTAATCATATTAAATTTTCACACATACACAACATACACACACTCAAATACACAAATACAATATACTTCTTTACGCGCACAGCCGGAAACCGAAGCGGGAAAAGAGGATATCGATTATGCCACAATAGGTCGGTATGCTGTCATGGGTACAACCGTTTTTGCACCAACACTCTATACATGGTTTGTTGATTTTCAAATTTTTTATACCTTTTTTTGAAAAGTGGTATTCACAAAATGGAATTGTTTAGATTACAGCTAATATGTTATAATTTCTGTAAAAATCTGTCAAAAATTTATAGAATATTAAAACAATATTAATTTAAACATAATTTAAAAATTATAAAAAAATTTATAATACATTTTCAATGCTTTTTTTTTGTGAACACCTCTTACTACTTGTATTATTTATTTGTTTACATTAAGTGCCTCTGATTTAAACGTTTATTTATTTCTTTTTAACATCACATCTACACAGCTTTGTATGCTGACGCACACATGCTTATTTGCTTTTGAATGTTTTGTTTACAATTTTACGTTTGCATTGCCCTTTGATTGGCTTTAATTAAAATAAATTTGCATCTAAGTGTTCTGTCTGTGCGCACAAATAAATTAATCATGAACCTCACTCAGCACTGGCCATGCCTAGCGCACCTTAATTTTGTTATCACTACCCATTTGCGCTCTCTATCACAAGCGCTCTTATATTATTTACACAAATATTTACTACTTTGTATGAAAAGTAATGTTTAATACAGTACAGCACATTTTATTGTTTGGGTCTTATCAGAGAACATAAAATATATTAATAAATTTATTATACGTTCTCTGGTCTTATCATGGTAGGCTTATCGAACGTTTATCCGTGAATTCACCAAAATAGTAACAAAATGCACGTGTTGAATCTCAACACATAAACAGCTGTTTAGTTCTTATTCTCTCTCTCTCTCTCGATTCCTAACTCTCTTTTTCTTACCTTGTTTACGACTCTCTCAGGTTTATACCAGTATTATTTTATTCTTTAAGCTTTTCAACAATCACCAACAACTTTACCATAGTTTTTTAAGAAAAGCTCACGCTGGTAAAAACAGATAATGTTAAAAAATATTTTTTAACATTCTCTGGTTACACCCTTGAAAACATATTAATCGAAGTTTAAAGCTAACGCTTAAAAATATATACTCATATATACTGTGATCAAAAAGTAAGTCGAAATTTTCATTTAATACCATGTTTGCACTAAAAATTTAAAGCGATTTTATTACATTTAATCTATTCACTAATCTACACTGTTCTCACTGTTATTGGAAATTTATAAAACAGTTGTTTTTCACTAGTTGATCGAAGCTGTGGCATTTTTCTCGACACAACTCTATTGGGTCGGCTTCGGCTACCTAACTCCACATTACACTCCTTTGTTTGATACTATTTTCTGCCATTTTCACTTTTTTACTTGATACTACTTTAATCTTTTACTTTTTATTTTATTTCTTTGCTTAATTTTTATAACTTTGCCAGTTTGTAGTGTCTAAATCAGCTGGGATAATGTGATAAATTTCCCAATTGACAAACAGATGGCGCTAAATTAAAATCACACAAGGTTTTCGAGTAGATTAGCTTCAAATCTCTTCTTATGTTAATAAGTGTCATCTTTATATGGTGAAATCTTGCTACATCTAGTAGATTACTTAGAGAATCTACACAACAACTGTCGGAACATGGTATAAAATTTCCAAGCATTAGGAAGGCAGACACATTTTTTTTCAGGTTGGTAGGAATGTCTATAACATTTTACCAGCTTCTGTTTGTCCAAAGGTTTATGTTATCAAATTTTGTTGGCGGATAGAATATTTTTGTGTGGACCCTTTGGAAATGTTGCGGAAAACCTTTGGTGTTCAAACTAGGGCCAAAAACCCGTTTATAAATGGTACAACGAGTTCAAAGCAAGTTGATAACTCAGTACAGACGAACCGCACTCTGGACAACCCTCAACCTCTGCCGTCTTCCAAAAAATCTAAAATTTTACCCTTGAAAAGCATCGATTGACAATTAGAGACCGCGAGCATCTTTTGGCTTTGCTCAAACCATTTTGAAGTATGTTTCGTGTCTCAAAGGCGTCAAGTTTCGATTGGTGTCAAATAGGTTCTTCGCAACTTTTTTGTCAAAAACTAGACTCATATCGTTCGCAACCACTGTATTCGCCTGATTTGGTTCCGTATTTTGGCTACTCAGCGAACTCAAAAGGCAAATTCGGGAATGCCGTTTTGATAGGATTGAAGATATAAGAACCGAATCAAAGAAGGTATTGGAGGCTATACCGGAAAAAGACTATCCGACTGTTTCGAGGACAAGGCAAAAGTGCGCTTAATCGGACGAGGATTACTTTGAAGGGGATGAAATTAATTTGGAAGAATAAATAAAGAATTCAACTTACTTTTTGATCACATTTGTATATAAAGCAGAAGCTTAAAGATATATTTCTAGGAATTCTCACGTAATCTTTTTAATAACAGCTAAGAACTCCAAGCTCTTTTCTTTTTATTTTTTTTTCAATATTTTGTTTCTACTGAAAATTAATTTAAAAAAATTTTCATTTGCATTTCTTTAATATAATAATAACGACTTCAGCACACAACAAAAAAGCACTCAAACTTTTCACTCATATTTAAAGGCACAAAGAATGCTTCACTCAATGCAAGTTAGTCTTGAATAGTGCAGCTTAAATGGTATAATGCAGACATTTTCCGGCATTGTTATTCTTACTGTGCACATTTCAAAGAATATGCATTGCTCTGTCTAAGATTAAAGCAAATTTGAGAAAATATTTATTTAAATTTGCCTTTCTCATTTTCTACTCTCAATAAAATAGGTACAAATGGCTCGACCGCACCTTTCCTGGCACTGCCAAACAGATAATCGTTAAAAAGTTGGTGCTGGATCAATTCGTGTTAACACCCTATCTGCTGACAGTTTTCTATACAGGTTAGTAGATTTTTAGAATACATAAAAATGTTTGTAAATAAAAACTTAAAAACAGATCAAAAATAAATAATAAATTTATTTAAAATTAAAAAGAACTTGACACAAATATTTGGTGTTCTCCGCAAATACTTTCAGGCATGTCACTGATGGAGCAAGCCGAGGACCCTTTTAAGGAGTTACGTGAGAAATTTTTACCCACATTTACACGTTCTTGCATATTTTGGCTGCCAGCGCAAACTTTGAATTTCGTAATGGTTGCACCGAGATTTCGCGTGATCTACATGGGTGTCTGCGGTTTTATATGGGTGAATATTCTATGCTGGATTAAGCGACAACCCAATGAGCTAGAGTCTGAGAGTGAGATGAAACTGAAGGTGGCCGGTCAATAAAGGTTTAAGCTAAGTAGATTTTATAGAAATAGAGATTTTTAATTAACTTAGTTAACTAGAAAACGCAATGCTTGAGAGTTGCTTGTAATAGCGCTTTTATAAAATATTTTCGAGACATTTAACGAAAAAATTATCAAGAAGAGGCTTATAAAATGCATATACTTGTAAGTTCAAACACTATTTTGTAAGATAATGTAGAGGTGAATGAAAAATTAAACGTTTTTAGGAGAAGAATTTCTGTAGAAGGCGTTTTTTAAGAGAAGTGCGATTTGTCTTAAGTTAACAATAAGCTACTTTATTTTATTAAACCATTAGAAATGAATTTATTTGTAAAGAAAATAAAACGTTGAAATTTAATTTATTTAAATTAATCGATATATATCGATAAATGTTATGCGATTTGTGACAGTATAACTTTCGCGGAAACGTCTACAAAGTATATTAGTAATAAAATTTGTTAACATTAATAACCGTTATATTGAATAAAAACGATATATTATCGAATTTTTTCAACATATTTAGATAGTATTTTTAATAAACATAATAACTTTGCACTAACGGACTATTATAAAAATTGTATATGCTAAATAGCAATATTATTATCGACAATTTCGATTATGGGAATATCGATAAGTTTATCGATTATCCTTAGTATAATATTTCCAAAGCAAATAATAATTCACATCATACCGTCTATATCGATTTTACAAAAATCGGTAAATTTATCGATTATTTTTTGAAAAGTGCTTGCAATGCCAACTGTTATTAATGAACACCATTCCAACTAAGGTAAGTCTAGGTGAGGATGTAATGCGAAATATTTACATATTTTCAATAATAAATCGAAACTCAACATTTGTGGCAGGGCTAGAGAATCCAAAAATGTTTAATTTTCTGATATACAACTGATTGATAAGCGCCTCTCTTCGAAATTCAAAATTATATCGACAAAAAACTATTGCATTTTCTCTATATTTTTATTGGTGCTCTCTCAATGTATTCGTCAACAGAAAATAATGCGCAACTACTATCATATATCATTGTCAGTTAATAATTTCATAAGATCTCCTTTTGTTGTATTTCTTGGGTTCTGGTAGGCTCACAATTTTCCCACTTACAGACTGCTACGAGACGCATATCTGTTATTGGATGCGGTACAAATTTCGGATAGTCATCATATTCACAATAATGACAGACATACATACATATGTATTCATAACTATAACTTAAATGTGTAACTAACTCACTTATATTGGAGCGCTTGCAGATTAACCGCGAAAGAAAATTTTCCACAATAAAAGGCTCAAGTGCATAACTACTTGCATGCATTTAAATACTCACACGCACACATAAACACAAACACAAGTGAGTTTCTGTAGCGATATATACCATTTGGTATGCATATAAAAATAAATGTTACGTATACGTCATGTCTGATTGGGTAAAAACGCGTTGTATGGCTGCACAGGCTTGCTTTATGCTACAACAAAGCCAGCATTAATGTGGTGTAAATCTTTATGCTTTTTGTGAAAAATTGCCGAGCAATTTCTGTTGTTGTTGCTTTTGCAACGCCCTCATTCAGCAAGAGTGCCATAACAATATGTTGCCGCATGGCAGTTCCGTTCAAATAATAACAAAAAAAAATTAAAAAATACGCCTTCGCACCTCTCGAAAAATGAGGTTGCAACCAGTTTTCGGCGAAAGGTTAAAAATTTCCATATTTCCATATGCCAAGGCAACAACCGTCGTCACAAACGCTGCCGCGTAAAAGTATTTTGTTTGCGCCTGAATTTGTATCCTTTGCGCCTTGGCTGGCAGCGCAACAGTTGTTCGCATAATTTTAACACCTACACAAATACGTGAATAAATAATTTTTTGGTCACACAATAGCGACGCAGTAAAAGAGTAAAGACCCCGCAATGATAAAATGTGCATAGGAGCCGCGGCAACAACGGTGGCAGATCCTTGAGTGGCGTCAGCGGCGTCGGCATTTTCGGCAAAACGCTAACTAGCGCCAAGATTAATGAGCGCAAATTTTAAATGTACGCTGTGCAGCGTTTATATTTACATAATTTGTGTAGCATTTTACACCTTTTAACGCGCTGCCATCAAACGTGCCGGTCGACCTGCCACAGCCCGTCCATCTTGCGTGGCGCGGCATAACATGTGAAGTGCAGCACCTTTGTTGCGCTTTATTTTTCAACGTCTGGTGTGTGTGTGTTTTTTTTTGTTTTGTGGCGCTCGCGGCGATGACAGCATCAGCTACGCCTGCCATTTTAGTTCAAGGACATAAATTTGCTGAAAAATGAGTTGAAATATTTTTTTTTGTTCTCTTCTTCTTTTGTGTGAAGTTAACCTTTGCGCCGCTTTGTCGTATAATTTGAAATTTAAAAATGTTGCAACTTTTCACAACTTTCATTGCTCACACTCCGCTTTCAATTGCTCTACGCCGCAACGTGTGTTGCGTACCTAAAAAGTGTTACCCTTTCAAGTATTTTCGTGTTGTGAGAAATTGCATATAAAAAGCTAGTAGTTTTGGTGCCGTCTGTAACCTAGTTGTTTTTGCTGTTGTTCAAGTGTTCACAGTAGCTGTTGGTAGTTAAGTAAGCAACTGGTTGAGTTGACAGTTGGGTCGAGTGCTTTTCTTGCTAAGGCCAATGTGGCCAAGTGGAAGACAGGGTAAAAACTCTCGCTTTGCAGAAAATTAGCTTAGAAAAAGTTTACACAGTTAACTGTTGTTTTTGTAGCGGTTATGAATAGATAAAGCATACTGCTATGACACCTATTGAGAGAGAATGTAAAAAATTAGCAATAACGGCACGTTAGTTGTATTTGATTATAGGTGCATGGAAAGCGAATAAGTGGGAGTAGTTGGTGAAATAAAAAGTTAGTGAAATTACCAATTGAATTGCCTGCTTGCTTGTAGAGTAGTGTGTAAGGATGGTGTAAAGTAATTAATAAATAAAAAAAATACTTGATTATTATTTTTTCATTTTAAATTAACTCTATTGAGAGAATTTGAACGAATTCTATAAACCACTCTTTATTATTATAATATATTATATTATAGGACTATATGTATAGTCCATAAAATCAAACTATAATTTCTGATATGCTTGTAATACCGCTAATAATAATCATGAGGTCTAATATATCCATTTTTAATCCATGTAGTGTTAGTAAAACGTACGACTGTACCAAAAATAAGATTTTTCGAAATTCCATTTAGCTGGTACTAATCTTAGAAACACAACAAAATTATATAATACTTGATCACTCTTAAGTATGAGAGCCTCATCCACTTTAAAAGCTATCTAAAACTCATATCTATAGACCAGAATACCCCCATATATACAGACAGACTGGCTAAATCGAATCAGCTCTTCATGCTGATCATTTATATTGTGGCTAACTTAATATACCGTGCTCAGCGTATAAAAAGAGTTGTTGAATCTATATCGCAAGTGCGTAAGAAGTTTACATAAGCAGCTATTGTTCCGATAGATGTCGCTATAAACGCATTATTAACAAAACTCGTATTTATACTCCGATATCGTTCAAAGTATAGCTTCAATGAATTAAAAATTAAAACATTTTCATAATTTAATTGCTTAGGGTATTACAAATATTTTTGGTTTAATATTTTAGCAAAAAATCGTCGTAGAAATGAGACTGTCTGTAAGAGCGGTCAACGTTCTCAAATAACAGGCATAAATTAAATAAAAAATATGTTTTACTGACATTAAAAAATTTCAAAAATTTGGTTTTTACGAAAAATTATCTAGAGATTTCCGGCGTAGTGAGACAGAAAATGTATTAACTAGGACAACTATATACTGGAAAGTCATATTCAAAAGCTAATTAGCCTAGAAATGGCACACTTGTCATATGCTAAGGACGATGGTTAGTTCAAACATTAATTTTATACAAAGCCAGGCTTTTATCCACTACATTTAATTGACTTTGCAGCCTTACGAGACTAATATATTGAATCATTTTTAGTTTGTTTCCAGTTTTTTTGCTGCTCTTAAAAACTCAGCAATTGCCTTAAATTCTAAAAAGAAATTAGTGAAACCTCTTCATACCCACTCGTTTTATAATTAATTGCTATACCAAATATTATATTATATTTTAATACTTGGGCTTTTTTATGCGTGTGTATAGCTGATAGTGAAACTTTAAGTGTTACTGCACTAACTCAAAAACATATAAATATCGCTGTGTATTTGTGTGAGAACATCACCACAAACTTTCACGCAAACGAGGCTAATGCACAAATAGCCTGTGTCAATGAAATTAATTAAGAAAGTTAACGTTATTAGGTTAAAAAGTCAATGTGGTTTGTATATGGGCGCTGCGAGTGTCAAGGAAGGTGAAATATGAGAAAATATATGCGCACAAAAACAACTAAGGCCACAAAATGGGTTGCCACCTACAACAACAGCAAGAAGCTATAACTTTCCTACAATGATAAATAACGGTGAAAGGCAGGTGGGATGACTGCTTGACTGATACAACTGTCGTGAGAGATAATTAGCAAAAAATTTGTAAATAAATGTATGTGTGTGTGTGAGTTTGTGTGTGGAAGTGCGGCTAATTACATACAATGCGTTTATAGTAGGCGCAGATGATAAAACAACGCTTGCGGCGACATGCATATCCATGTTTAGCTGGGACTATCAATGGTGTCTTAAATGCTTGTCTCTCAATCAACGCTTATGTGTATACACGCGGCTAAAACGCTTGGTGGAAATGTTTCGACAAGGTAGCTGTATTTACGTTGCAATTCTATGGATTTATATAAGCAGCTCAAGTGCTTATGAGAGTGCGTGGTGGCTTGTGCTGACTGTGGTGAGGTGTGTATAGGGCTGTACATGGCGTATGAGTGACTTACTAGATGCGACTTATTTTGAGTTTAAGTAAGACGGTTGTGTGTTTATGAAGGACTAAGTGGCAATAAGAAAGTATGCTATTTTGTTTTTAATAATATTTAATTTAAATAAAAAAATTTCACTTTCATTTTGCGTTAAAAAAAGCAAAGAAATGCAAAATACTTTTACACTTAAGCTTTTTATATTTTATTTTATCTTCCATACAGCAATCCAACGAGGCCAACTACTGATTGACGTTGGTTATTGTTGGTTTCCGACAGCGTCACATGAAATCAGCACACGTGCCGTTTACAAATTCAAGCGTAAGCTACAGTTATACATACATATCTACATACACAGTTTATATATTATATATACAAGTATGTAGGTAAGTAACAGTAAGAGACTCAGTCAAGGCGCATATATGCGGTTAAATATATGTAAATGTAATATTTGTGCTTGTGTACCTACAACACTCTGTGAAAACGCCTTCTAATTACGTTTATAAATATTTGGCGTGTAAATTTAATTGTGTATGTGTTTGTGTTAATGCTAGCGTGCAGAAAATTACCACGCACATGCTAGCATACATATACATTTATTTACAAATAGTACCTTCGCAAATTCTACACTACAATAACAACAA